CGTCATTTTGTATATTTTTCCCTCTGATTTGGCTGTTTTGGGTCTAAATGATCTGTACCTGGTGATCTGTTGGCTCCATATTAGATAATGCTTTGAAGTTTGGAATGACGGCAGCTAGGTTCCAGTCTTACTGAGGACACAATCACTCACTAGTGACTTCCAAATAGGACGAAATGCACATTGTAGATTATTCCACTGTCAGCAGTCATTAACAAAATACAACCGCTGTAGTGCTTATTGTTTCTTTCAAAATATAAATGTATGAATATACATTCTTTTTTTCTTTTTTTTGAAGCCTTCTACTGGACTATTGTTTTGCTGCACTGTCAAAGTCTGTTCATGTAGCTACTGTTCAATGTTCAGCTCAAACAACACCTAATCAATTACTGGATAAATTATCCCAATATTGTATATGTGTGATAAGCACAACTAATGGTCGAATCTTACGTCCAAAAGAAGGTGATCGTCTTATCCTGTATTTACGTGATCTTAATTTACCAAAACCTGATAAATGGGGATCATGTCAGTTAACAGCATTTTTACAACAGGTATGACTTTATACCATGTGTTCATAACTTTGTATTATATACATATATATCATTCGTTTGCTGTCCAAGTGGCTTCAGGCTTAAACTTTGAAGTTGCAATAACATTGGTATTGTTTTTACAGGGTGGAGTTGCTAGCTTCGTGCCCAACCCTCCATCTCTTGACTGGGCTTACTACCGGTTAGGCGGCGTGTAGGAGGTTGTGTGAGTTGTGTTCTCTGAGCTGGCTGTCCTTCTAGACAATATCTTCAGTGCAGGTTTTAGTATAAAATGAACTCGTTTAAATTCCCGTCGAATGATGCAATCGTATCTCCTGACGAATACAGTCGTGACTGTTTGTTAACTTACACCTCTTTCGATCATATTTATTGACTTGTAATTCGAGTCTTAGGAGGAGTGCATCGGCTGGTAATCGGACCTAGACCACGCGCGTGGTTGACGAGCATTCTCTTACTGAAATACCGAAGTATACAATCGCTTTACATTATGATGCTTTTATTCTGTTATAGGTTAGTATAGTTTTTTTCGTTGATGTCGCTTTTCCTAACTATGAAGGAAGATGCTAAATAATACGTTTTTTGAGCTGTCTGGTTGTTCGCACTGTATAGCTCTCTCCGCAGGAGCAGCTAAATTTGTAGATATACGTAAAAGTGGTACAGCTAGGTACCTTGTCTTTCGCCTGACCAATCATAATTGTTCGGCAGCTGGGAAATAACAGACTAAAGGTGGCGGCAGTATAAGTCAGTTTTATTGCTCTCCATAATCTCAGATGTATGACTTCACTAGCCACTTCCCCATTAAATTGCAATTTTAGGAAGGGTTGTTTCACTTTAAATGCTTTTATTTTCTCTCTATTATACCTAGTGTTCATGTGTCTCCTTACAAATCTACTAGGATAACGCATTTGAACCAGTGTATTTTGGATGTATCCTGGCTCATTTTCTAGTGAGTCATCTGTATAGATCCGTCTTGCTGTATTCGTGAGTCATCTGACCAAATTGACTTGGTATCGGATTGGTACAAAACTGAAGAAATGTGTACATTGTCCTACAGATGTAGGTTTTGTATAGATATCTTTCTTCAGTGAGCCATCCTCTCTTCTGCTCAACTGAACACCAAGGAAGTGTAGTCTACCATCATGTTCTTCTTCACAAGTGAAGATGAACGATGAATGTGCATTTCATTCTTGCCAGTTTTCTTATCAGGATTAATAAACGCACCATCGACATGACGAAAATAAGAGTCCATTTTATCTATTACTTTTTTCCATGGACTATTTCCAAGCTAAGCAAGGAAAAAGTCTGCCAAAATTGGACCCAGTGGAGAACCCATGGCAATGCCGTTGATTTATCTGTGTTAAAGCTTGTTGAATGTGAAGTGTACATTCATAGTGCATCTTAGAAGCAGTTCTTTCAGACTAATAATTGGAATTCCGATATTCAACTGCTTTTCTAATATTTGTTGGCATATGAATTCCACAGTCTCCATAAGTGGTAGTACATTGGTGAACAGTGATGCAACATTTAAGGATAGTTTTTGCTTCCCATTTACATTGACATCGTGTACGTTAGGAATGAATTCAGAGAAGTCTTTAACGCTATGATTTACCATATTCTTGTGTGATAGTTGGAGGAGTTCACCTAACCGCTTTACTACTTCATGGTAGGTGGATTTAGACATGTCTAGGACTGGGAGAAGAGAAATTCCTGGTTTATGTACTTCGGGCAGACCCCACAATCGTGAAGTATTACTTCCAGTGGGTTTATTAAGACGATTGTAGGCTGCCTCTGAGATTACTCCACTTTTTATCAGCTCATTAAGCGTATTTGTTAGCCGCTTTCAGCCTATACCTTATATAATTATTTTACTTCCCTCAGTTCCGTTATTTGTATAAGACATATTCGGTGTTGATTCGGCAGACGCAGATTCGGGAATTAACTCCTCTCTCTCTCTCTGTCTACACTTAATCGCATTACTTTTTAAAACTTTTGTCCTAACCTGTACTCCAATGAATGCAATGCAATGGATGAGTATTTTTCTAGATTATTTAACTTAGTTATTAACATCGTATTACTTTGTGTTATACCAAATAAGCATTTTTAATTTTGCAATTAGATTTCACCATAATGCCCAATTTCTACTCTTACGTTAATCTAAATTATTTTGCCTACCACTTAATCCACTGGCTTATATGATGCAATTAAGCGCTGTTATGGTGTTTACAATTTTCTTTTTTTTTTAGCAATCGCTATTTATTAACTTAAGCTACACATCATGTTTGGTGTCTAATTATTTTTCCTCATGTTTTTGCATTCTCAAGGGAATCTAAGGCTTCAAACTCTAAAGTTTCAGAAGCAGTTGTTATCCAAGTATTATTTTGTAGGGATTTGATTGATTGGTTACAAGATTTCATCATGAGCTGACATCAGTTAGAGAACCATTGGAAAACCACCTGGTAGTACGTGTCAGCTGTTGCGTCTGTCCTAGTTCGAGACTCTTCACAGCACGCACCCACCACCAGGGTTTATACCCAAGGCTTTCTGGCTACAAGGCTAGCGAGCTCGTAGACCATTAAGCTGCTGGGATTAAATTCAGCGACCAGTGCATGAATCCCAACTTCTACCAATTCATGATATGGCGCGATCACTAGTCAGTGTCATCGGCGGTGAGTATGTGTCCTTATATCCAACTCGCTTAATGGTCTGCTAGCTTCCTTTGTGACCAGAAGGTCGTGGGTTAGAAACCCGCAGTTAGTGGGCGTGTGCTTCTGAAGGGTCCCAAACTAGGACGAAACAGTCGTCCAGCACTCCCAGGTGGTTTTCCAGTGGTTCTCTAACCGGATGTCAGCTCATGATGAAACCCTGTAAGCAGTTGTTATTGTTCTTATGCAGTAAGTCTGCTAGTTCCACCACCAGCCTCTCCTCCATTCCCACTTTGTTGTCGGCCAGGGATCCAGATCACGTGCATGCTCAATGAACATTGTACCATCAAACCATTGGCCCACTTTATATATATATATATAAGTGCGTTTTGATTCCATGCTGATAATTATCTGTCCATTTCGCATTTTTTTGTGTTTTATTACAGATTCTTACCTATCATGGATACTATGATCCATCCAGTTTAGAATTTATTGGTATTGAAGGAATACAATTCGTTGGAAGTTTTACCCCAGCCAATACATCTGTTGGTCTTGGACGTTATCCTCTGTCGAAACGATTCACTTCAGCTCTCCGACTAACAGTCATTGGATATCCAGAAAATGATCAAATGATAAGCATTTACGCTTGCCTTTTACAAGCTGTTAGTGTTTCCAAGTTGAAATATACTGTTGCTCAGTCGACTGAATCAGATCGTATAAGTAGTAGGCGATCAGACTATAATAATAAAGATTTAAAGGCTTCTTCTTCTTCGTCTAGAAAGCTACTCATTAATCCTACTGGATTACATAATATGTCAACAATAATGGTTCAGCTATTACATGAATTACAGCGTAATTTTCGTGCAGATGAATATGCACATTGTGTATTTACACCTCACTCATTGACTGCATGGGTAAGCGGATTACTACGTTATAAATTCACGGAATCAATCAATGAAATATGGTCAATATTTGGTTATGAAGCAAAGCGTTTATTTCGTGATTGTCTACCTGGTGAGAAAGCACGTCATCACTTCGATGTATTACTCACTAGGATATTATATAACGTTTTAAGTGGATCAGTAATAAAACCTGGTGAGGATATAGACAAAGCTGGCAAACATTGGAAGCTATCAAATGAAAAATGCGATGAAATACAAAGTACGCTAATGATGGCAACTGGAGACTGTGAATCGTATGAAAGCGATATCCCTGATGAAGATAAATCCAGTTATAATGATGATGATGATGATAAATTTGTCAAATTTCATGGTTCATTTGTCACATGGACTGCAACTCATCATTCTCCGTCAGGATATCCATCGGCATTATACGGAAAACCGCTAGAATTTTTAAAATATACACAAATCAAAGAAATAGTCTTAAAAGCACAGAAACAATTAGCTAGAGAAAAATTACCACAAGCTGAAACTTTAGTATTATTCCCCGACTTTATTGATTATTTGTGTCGATTCGATCGTGTACTCAGTCGTCCATCAGGTTCATTGTTATTAGCTGGTCGTTCTGGTATTGGACGCAGGTCTGCGCTGAATTTAATCGCGCATCTACATCAGTTGAATACTTTTCGTTTACATATTGGTCGAAATTATACTATGCGTCAATTTATTAATGATATGAAGACGGTTTGTCAGTCAGCGGGTATCGACAATCAACCAACCTTATTGATTATTGAAGACTATCAGCTGAAAGATGATTGTTTCTTAGAAATTGTAAACAGCCTGCTAGCCTGTGGTGAAGCAAGTGGTTTAATGAATACTGAGGAATTAGAAGCTACTGTATCGATTGTCGCCTCAAAAACTGGTGTTAATCTTAAAGAACAAGCAGCTGAAGCTGGACATCGTGGACCGTTGACCACCTTCTTGGCGAATCGTATTCATAGAAATCTTCATTTTGCTATTATTCTGGATATTGATGATGATTTCTTCAACAGTCGACTACAGTCGAATCCTTCACTGTATAAGTATTGTTGTGTTCAATGGATGGATGAATGGTCTAAGGCTAGTTTACTACAAATCCCTAAACTACTTATACCAAAATCATGTATTCCAAAAGATGTGAGTGGTTTTTGTCAAGCCTGCGTTAATCTGCACACTTCGTCATCGCCAGACCCACATATAATGATGATAGCGACAGCGATGCCTACTCCACGTCATTTTATTGCATTCTGTTCGACATACTCACGAATTGAACAAAATCATCGGAAGAAATTAAATTCTGAGATAACTAGATTAAAAAGTGGTCTAGGAAAACTGAAAGAAGCCTGTGAACGTGTTAGTGAACTTAAAAGACAGACAGCTGAACAAGGAAAGTTATTGGTGGAAAAACAAACTGAAGCTGATAAAGCCTTAGAACAGATAAGTGCTGCAATACAAGTGAGTTGTTCAAGTGTCAGTTTTCTTGGATTTGATTGGTCTGTTACGGGATTTCATCATGAGCTGACATTGGTTAGAGAACTATTGGAAAACCTGTATGGAGAACTAGACAGTCGTTTCGTCCTAGTTTGGGACTCTTCATCGGTACGCACCCACAGAGGTTTAAACACATGATCTTCTGGTTACAATTCAAGCTCGTAGAACATTCAGCTACTGGCGGCCGATCCAATGGCCGATGAATTCTCGAAGATAACGTTGGCTATTGGTCTAGCTATATCGTCAATTGTCAGAAGCTTGAATTCATGGGCTGGCCATTGTCTCGGGTCTCAGAAGCTGTACGGTCTACGAGCTCGCCTTGTAACCGAAAGGTTCTGGGTTCAAACTCCGGTGTATGCGTACTGTGAAGAGTCCCAAACTAGGATGGACGAAACTCCTGTCCAGTACTCAAGAGTTTTCCAATGGTTCTCTAACCTACCTCATCTCATGCTGAAATCTTGTAAAGAATTGAGTTAGTCAGTTAATCAAGTCACAGAGTCTTGGTGTTATTAAACATATAGTTGACATGCGTATATAATTATTTGTTTGAAATATTTCTCTTCAATATTTTATTGAGGTACCAACTTGGTTCAGTATGTGCGCTTGGAGATGTACCACACGAAATAATCTTATGACAACATAATGAAAAGTAAAATCGCATATAAACTAGTTGACTCCTTCTAACTCGTCTCGAGGAAGAACATTGGGTATCGAAAAACTAATGCTAATCTTCCAATAAGTTGTTGAATGATGAAATCCTTTTCATGTAACCTCAAAGTCTTCAATTTGATCTCCAGTAGGGAGTCATGATTGTGTACATCTGAACAGCCCTGAGTGTGAATGAAACCCCAGTTTTAAGTGGTCCTCTATATGATATCGATTCATGAAATCATTACGATCCTGATATATCTTGCAAGTGACTTCTAAAAGTTATTGAAGTCAAGCATTAAAAGTAGATGGTCGTTTACTGACGAGTACCAGTAAACACGAAACCTAGTTCCAATGCTTCCTATCAACTGTCTCCAACTATCTATTCATTGATTAATTCTTGATGCGTGTCATATCTCCGAGAAATGCCGATAGACTGCTAAAATGAATTAGATACCAATCACGATAACTGTTTCCTCTATTTGTTTGTTTTCTATGTGATTACGTGTGTTCAGGAAAAACGCTAAAGTGTTCATTTTGTTTTCGGTTCATAAAAAATCAATCAATAATGAAACTTTCTGACAAATAACACCGCATGATTACTGTCTAGTCTATAATTTGACTACTTTTCCAATGATATATATCATATTATTATTATGATTATTATCAGTAGTAGTTATCAAACTACCTTTTTTTAAATAAACAAACCAACCTGTTTACATTATTCCACTGGTAAATATTTTAATTACAATCAATACAGATATTTCCGATTGTTATAGTGTGAAGATTTGATTAGTTTAAAGTTAGACTATGAACTGATACATTAGTTAAAGAAGCAGTGAAAGTCTGGAAGCACTAGGTACCTGTTTCGTCCTATTTTCGAACTCTTCGACATTACTGATGTTCTTATATGATCAACGGCGTAAACTTGCAACCTGAATGTCCTATTCTTGATGTTGAGGTAATGACTGCATACTTCTGAAGAGCTTTAAATTAGAACGAAAAGCTGTGCAGTACTCTCTGGTTTCCACTGGTTCTATAATTGATGTATCAGTTCGTGATCTTAATCCAAGACAAACACAGCGACGATTTACTACACGACATTCGAACTATCAAACGGCTTAATAAAAGTTTTATAATGACCTAGATCTGCCCTGAAAGTTGAAACTGAGTCACTTCTTTTTACTTCTCCCTTCTTGTATAAAAGGTGGAAATTTGACTAGTAATGTACAAGGATTATGAAATAAAGATGAAAAAGTGTGGTGTGCTCTACTGATAAAAGTTATCAGTAGTATACATAAGAAGATGTTCATTGGCATATACACATCAAATAGCAGGGGGATAGATTTCATGTCAGCGAAATCAAATAATACAGAGTTACGGAGATACATGCCTGTCTGTCTATTTTCAACATAGAACTTTGCGATAAATTCCTCTTCTGGCTCTACAGTTATATATATATATATATATATTGTTTATATACACAAAATGTACATGATTGGTAGTTAATAACAATATTGGTGTTTTTTAAATAATACCGATTTATAAAGTAAGATCAATGCAATTACAGTTCACTGAAAATACTTATATTAGACTTAAATTAAACCTAGATGGCCAAGGTAAGGACAGTGTCTGAACTAACTTCTTTTGGACGCACAAATTATGCTTTTTAATGTGGATCCCAACAGCCTCAGCAATATTTAGTAATCGAACTCTTAAGGCGGAGTTGAGATTTGTTGGTATCCGGTAAATAACTCTAAAGGCCTGGTTAACATCAGTCTTATGTTCTGTATCCACAAGATGAGCCAGAATAGCGCTACGAATAGATTTTGTTTGGCCTTTGCTTGACCACCAATATTGTTATTAACTACCAATCTTGAATATTTTGTGTATATAAACATATATATAACTGTAGAGCCAGAAGAGGAATTTATCGAAAAGAATATTCTTTGCTCGCTTATTTTGTGTTTTATAGATGTTTGAATGAATATTTTTGCTATATAGAACTTTGCACAGATGTGCACCAGTTCAAATCGCCACACTCCATGTAGCACACAAATCAAGAGAAGAAAGTAGAAAAAATGCAAAATAGAAACAGTAAACAGAGATATGAGACAAAAAGAATACTAATAACGAAGAACAATATAGTTTCATTGGAAATTCTAAGTCACAAGGAGTGGTTGCATCTGCACGAGATACTGACAACGATTTTGAGCCATGTCACTGACTCTCTTCAGCTATTGCAGAGAGTCAGTCTACCCCTCCCTCGTCTGGCTTCAATTAACTGTTGTGGATTTCGTTGACTGATGAAGTCATGTTTTGGTTTGACCACCAATGGCTCTTTTCCAACCTGATCCATCCTATGTCAGCTAACATTGCCCGTTGAGGAAGGGGATGACTAGACATACGTAACACATGTCCTAACCGTCTCAGTCGATGTAGCTTCACAGCCTCCTCCTTACCTAGCACTCAACCAACACCTCACCTCAATATTGCTCACCCTACTATACCACTTCACATGGGAGATAGAACGGAGGCACTTATGATCAAAGACAGCTATCCTTTTCATGTCTTCCACTCTCAATGACGATGTCTCATAGCTAGTCATAAAGGAGGACGAAGTGGACTGTTGAGCAGTACACACGTCCTTTAGTCTATAGCCGGATATCACGTCTACTAAACCAGAGATTGCGTAAGTTGGCGGGCATATGCGAAACGAACCTTCTGTATGCTTGGTGAGATGTCATCAGCGAACAACCTGCTGGCACTGGCTGATGCAACTTTCCGAATAAGTGAAATAGCCAACACTTTTGGGACGACCTTTTCTAACTTCTCTTTTCCAGAGTGGAAAGACGGCTCTAATCGTTTGCCAGTCGACTGAGAAAAACACTTTACTTGCTATTATCTCTCTATTTACCAGCAGTACGAATGGTCCCACACATTCCTCAATGTAGTATAAAGTACCAACACTATGCTGGTAATCGTTTTTGGTAGAATTACTATCCGAATGATATTTTCCGTATGGTAAGACCTATAGGAAAATCCATTCCACCATAGTATAGGTCGTTGAGTCAGTGTGACCACCACGTCAAGGCGGCAACTATCAACCTTTATGCAAACCTATCAACTCTCAAATCACTTTCGTCGCTAAATAGTTTTATCCGACATATTCGGCACCTAAGTAAATGAATGATTTTCAAAAAATCTATACTTCTTACCATTTTCTGTACTACATTGCATTTTAGGGTGCAGCTGAACAAAGAACAGAAATGGAGAATTTACGCAGCCGAGCAGCAGATGAATCTAAACATTTAGAACGTCGTAAATCAGCCATCGATTCCGAGTTAGCAGAAATTGAACCAATGGTTCAACAAGCTAGAGCTGCTGTTGGAAGTATTAAACCAGAAGCTTTGTCAGAGATACGTGCTTTACGTGCACCACCTGATATTATACGTGATATTCTAGAAGGTGTTCTACTCCTTATGGGTATATGTGATACATCATGGGCTAGTATGCGTGGATTTCTAGCTAAAAGAGGAGTTCAAGAAGAAATTCTTAATTTTGATGCTAGAAAAATTACACCAGATATACGTGCTAGTGTTGAGAAACTTTTAATTAAAAATCAAGAATCATTTGAACCTCGGGTAAGATTTCTTTTTTGTAAAACTTTATTTGCACTCTTTATAAATAATTTGTATGTTCATTCATACTTAAAACTTTTATTAGTAATATTTTTTGAGAAACTAGAAACTCAAGAATCTATACTTTATGGCTAGTTGTAGATGTATCCTTAATAAGAGGGAGAAGTAACTTCCTTTAGATCTCTCCTGTTGATCCTGATCATTGTCTAGATCTTCTCTACATTTATCTGAAGTCTTCATTGCCTCTGTGATCATGTTGATTCTCGCCTGTAGATCTTTGAATTTACAGTTTACAATTTATTTAGGATAGTAGGCTATATGCCTGTGTTAATCCTTTCGATTTATTTCATACAGGAGGTCCAATCTCGCCTTGAATGAATCAACGGATGGCGCTGATACGACATGTTCCGGTAGGGAGTTCCAATGGTTCACAATTCGATGCGAAAAACGGATTTCCAGACGCAGACGATTCGACCGTGGTTTTTGAACCTTGAGGTGATGTCCTCGCAATTGGTTGGTGCTAGAAGGAAGAAATAATTTAGATAAATTAGCTCCAAAATCATTTCTTAGGATACGGTATGCTAGTATTAGGTCACCCCTAAGTCGTCTGTATGACAGTGGAAATAAACCCAGTCGACTTAACCTCTCCTCATATGACAGGGTTGAGAAACCCTTTATTAGCTTAGTTCCTACTCTTTGCACCCTTTCTAATAAGTCAATTTCGTATTTGAAACACGGGCTCGCTGCCTGGATCCCATATTCCAAATGAGGTCTGATATAAGTCGGATATAATATACGAAATATATCAGCGTCAAAGTTCGCAAAAGCCTTGCGTATGGCCCATAACATTCTAAAACCCTTAGTGGCTGCAGTTCTACAGTTTGTTGCTGTTTTCAAGTCATGCTGCACAACCACTCCCAAGTCCTTGTACTCAGTGACCACTGGGAGAGTAATGCCATTCATTGAGTAATTGTGCACGTGACTATGGGATACATGCATAACTACACTCTTGCTTAAGTTAATCTCCAAGGCCCAGTGCTTACACCAATCACTTAACAAGTTTAAATCTTCCTGCAAAGCAAGTTGATCACTGTCATCGTGCAAAGCCCTCCATATCTTGATGTCATCAGCAAACAGTAAGCAGGATGACTTAACTACCGATGGAATCTCATTAACATAAATCAGGAAAAGAAGTGGGCCTAGAATTGTACCCTGAGGAACGCCACTCTTAACCGATTCCCATGTTGATAAAACCCCGTTAACTCGTACTCTTTGTCTTCTGTCCTTTAGAAAGTCTTGAATCCAGTCGGTAACCACTTTATTGATTCCCAGACTACCTAACTTTACTAGAAGACCTGAATGAGAAACCCTGTCAAACGCCTTGCTAAGGTCTATGAATATGGCATCCACCGGTATATTAGCATCAGCTGAGCTTGCCCAACTTTCTCTGGCCAAAAGAAGGTTGGTCAAGCAAGAATGACCTGCTCTAAAACCGTGCTGTTCCACAGCGAAAAGTTTGTTCCCTTCAATGAACTGAATGATAGCATCACGAATTATTCTTTCTAGTAGTTTAACAACAATACTGGTCAAACTAACAGGACGATAGTTCTGAACTAAGTTTCTAGATCCGGTTTTGAAGACCGGACTAATGATGGCATCTTTCCAGTCTCTTGGACATTTAGACTGGTCCAGAGACATATTGAAGATTACCGACAATGGCTCGGCTATGCTTTCAGCCAATGCTGTTAATATACGTGGGTGGAGTTCATCAGGGCCACTGGACTTACCAGGATTGAGCCTTAGAAGCCACTTTAGGACAGTATCCTTTCCAATGTATAAGGGTGCCATTTTCAAGTTACCTTCTGGAAAATTTACAAAGCTGGTATCAATATTATCAGAGAATACTTGACTAAAGTGCTTGGACAAAGCCTCAGCCTTGGTCAAGTTATCCTCAGCCATGTTTGTCTGGTCATCTTCAAGCATAAGAGGTGGGATAGCATCACTCTTACGTGTTCTTCTCTTGATATATGAGAAGAGTCTTTTTGGGCAGCCTGGTGAACTTTTAACTAACTGGGTTTCGTAAGCTATCCTTGACTGGTGGATCAAAGTTTTACACTGGTTTCTGGTTTCACAGTATTTCAGCCGGAACTGCTGTAGCCCAGTAGAAACAAAGAGATTCCAGAACCTTTTTCTCCGTCTCAGGAGTGTTATAGCTTGTCTATTTATCCATGGTGGCCGATTTGTTGGCCTTTTAGGAACCCTCCAGGGGATGAGATCAGTGGTAACCCTCTCAAGTGTATTCTTAAATCTATCCCATTCATCTTCAATGGATGAGACAATGTTGACTGACCAGTCGGCAGTTGAAGCACGCTCCTTTATAGCCACTATGTCAGCATGCCAAACACTAGGCCGGGATTTGGGTTGAAAACTGACTAAATTGCCAGCCCTTAAGTTAAAATCTAACACCCCATGATCACTGTTTGCTAGAGGTGGATGAATAACTAGACCATCCACGTCGTCGTTGTCATGAGTAAGCACTAAGTCCAGCAAGGAAGATCCTTGGGTAGAACCGAATCTTGTACTACCTAAGACATGTTGTGTCAGGGCATTTTCCATGGTTGTCAAGAGTAACCGGCTGTCAAACTTATCAGCGGATCCTGGAGATGTGACAGCTACCCAGTCTATATGAGGTGCATTAAAATCACCTAGAATAAGACAGCTACTGTGTTTACTCCATTGTTTGAGGTGATCTAAAATGAAGTCATCACACTGACAATAGGGACTTCTATACAGAACTCCAATGAGTAGAGTGCCGGTTGCAAAGCTTACTTCACAGCTAATTACCTCACCTGTCCCACTGTCATGAGCTTCAGATTTCACGGAACGAACATGTAGGGAGTTGTTGATGTACAGAGCAACCCCGCCACCTCTACGACCCTTAACTCTGTCGCTGCGCAAGCAACTAAATCCGCATAGCTCAGGTGTGTCATCTAATCCCGAAACCAGCCATGTTTCAGTAATGGCCACAATACCTGGGCTAAGGTCTTCTACTAATACACCTAGCTCGTGAAATTTGTTCCCGATACTACGTATATTAGTGTACACTACCTTCAGGCTTCCTATGCGGTCTGGCCTATCCACACAGGTCTTGGAAGCATACGTTTCCAAGACCTGACTATTTGAAAACCCACCAGTTTAAGGTTAGTCTCACCATTTTTGTGTCTTGTTTCTAGCTGGGACAAAACTTCTTTTCGTTTAAGTCTGTCTTCAAGAGATAAATCAGGTCTGGCTGAAATTCCTGACCCGGCAAGGTTGTGTACATTAGCCAGTAGATGATTCCGTTCATCAGGAGAACCTAAGACTACTTTAAGCAACCTACGCTGATTAGAACATTCATCATCTCTTTTGCCTATTCTAATCAGCTTTTTAATCGATACTCCAGGGAAATTCGCTGGGAGCATCTTCCTTATAATACTACTCACTAATTTAAGGTCGTGATCGTGCCTTTTCACGGGATCAGATTCTTTGGACTCTTCCAAATTTCCAACAATTATGTTAGAGTCTAAGGAGAGCTTGTCGTATTTAGCAGTGGCTACGTCCTTTCTCACCACTATTGATGCAGCCTGGCTACAGGTGACAGACGTTTGCCTACCATCAATATTACTATATTTCTTTCGACTGCTTATTTTTGTTACCCATTTATCATCTGCCTGCAGTTGCTTCTCAGGGCTGCTGCAGTTTTTGATGGTACAATCAAGATCAGTGTCTGCGACATTAAACATAAATCATCCTAAAAGTCAAGATCTTTTAGTGTTTCCTCATCAGTGCAATGCATACGCGTCTCCCAGTTCCCCACAGTCTGTTTCATGATCCAACCCATCACAACCAGTAAGACCGTCGATGATATTAGTGACTAGGCTTGTGATACTCCTGCCTTCATTTCAAAGGCTCCACTGAGATTTCCGTTGTGAATCATGTGGCATTTTATAGTGCTGTAGCATTTTTTTGAAATTTCTTTAACGTCAACGCTGATGAAGACCTTTTCAGAGTCGATAGATTTGAGGTATGGAGTTAACTGTCATTCTTTGCTTGCTGCGTAGTATTGCAATCCGGTCAAGCCTTGATTTGCCATTCCTGAATCCAACTTGTTCCGGGCTGAATTTTACCTTCAGAGCAGCTCTTAGTCTCTCCAAAAGTATCTGGCTTAGTATTTTACTTAAGGAAGACAATAGCATGATTACACTCCACTTTTCTTTCCCCCACCCATCGCAGTTCACATAAGAGTTCTTTTGAGTGTTTTTCCTTTTCTCTACATTTGTGTGTTATATATAAAATAGGAAAACTTCAACTGCCATACTTCTGTACAGAGTTCTACGTTGAAACTTGGTTTATATGTTTGTACACTGTTTATTTACTAAGATTGTAACGACAGAAGACAAGGGACAGGTAACAGATCGTCTATTGAGAAAATCAAGAGATTTTTATAGATTTTTATGTACATTATTGTCAGCGGAGAAGCTACGTCTTCTGACTGGTTGTTTTCTCATTGAAGGTTATTCTGTTGTTTCCTTGTGACTGTTTCTTTGAAAGTTAAGCCATATCTCTGCGAATCGTGTTTGCACACGTTATGTCTACTGTGATTGGTTGGTGAGTTCCTCAGGGTTAAGCTTTTTTATTGTCTTTTTTTCATGACCCTGATTCGGGACGTGAACATTGACGTAAATTGCTGTCTACAATTTTGGGTTGTTCGCAGCCAGGTTTCACCACAAAATTACCTTCAAGTAATAACTTTTTTCCTATTTCTTTCTCTCTTCAAATAAATACTCCTTTTTTAGGTTGCTAGACGTGCATCTGTTGCAATCGCTCCATTAGCCACATGGGTTCGTGCTAATGTACAATATGCAAGTGTATTAGAGCGTATTTCTCCATTGGAAGCTGAACACAATAAATTAAAATCATCTCTATTTCAAGCTGAAAATTCTTTAACAAATTTAGCTAAAGATTTAAGTAATGTTGACACAAAAGTGGCTAAACTACGTGGCATTTTTGAAAAACATACCACTGAAGCAACACACTTAAAAATGGAACTTGAACGTACAAAAGAAACACTGGCATCAGCTGAAACATTAGTTGGAGAATTAGAAAGTGAACATACACGATGGAATAATCAAGTAAATTTCATTTACTTTATATAAGTTGTTGATTTTTGATTCTTTAATGATGGCAGTGAAGTTCAGTATGATGAGAAATCAGCTGGAAGGCCGGCTAGAACATAAAATGACTGTGTGGTTCTATTTTTTCATGTTCAAAAGTGCACACTCACGATCTATCGGAAGACTGAACTAATAATAGTCGTAAGTGAATTGAAATCCAATAGTCTAGTGGTTTTCAGTCGGTGATTCAGTGGTAGAATATTAGCCATTTAAGCACTTAGTCCGTGGTTCGATTCCCGGTTAATGGACTCCTTGACCTCGCCTAGTTCGCCAACTGATAATCAGTCCAAGAAAGAGGAAAAGTTGGGTGTAAAGGCAGCAACCCCACCCCATGAAAAAATCGTCGTTGTTGGGACTTCGATATAAGAGGCCTTAGGTTCCACTCGGAGCGCAGAGGAAGACGGCACGCCTAAAGAATAAATCTGAGGGTTTTTTGAGATGTCATCTATAACCCTACCTGTCTTCCATAAAAAAACGTAAATTGTAGAAATCTGCAGAAATAAGTTATCAGATGGTTGGAGATAATCCATAGCAAGCTCTAGAACTGATGCTTGATCAGAAACCTGGACCTGTATCTCCCAGTGCCGTAGTCGGAGATATTACCAGTGAGTTATTCGGTATAACGACTGACCTCCTGTAGGGCTGGAAATAACTACTGGCATATGCCAAGTCCTTGTTATTAGTGCTGATTGAATCCTATCAGGTAAGTTTACACTGCAGGTCCCAATGGCTCAGTGGTAATAGCTCTGACTGCATTACCGGTTGACGTGGATTTGGATTTCCGGGAAGAAACCAGTTTCTTTCAAGGGTGCAGAAACGTTTTGCTGACAAATACTAGTAATTACGAAACCTAGTTCCAGGGATTCATACTTGTCGGCTTCAACCACTTAACAGTATATCAGAGTGGACCACGACAGTGAGCCACTTAGTCTGTCAACTATATTTCGTGAGCGTTCTGTTCTTTTTGCATAACTGTACATTAATTTGAATTGATAAGCATCTACCAGGTGTGTAATCAAATCTACACGTAGTTATTCTGGTTAATGATATCTAGCAGTGGAATCCTCTAGGATGTAAATTTAGTTCTGTTGAAGACTCATCAGCTGGATGTATATACATTCTCAGTGAGTGATGCTATTCCTACTGATACTCAAATCTTGAACTCTTTATTTGAAACGCCAGAGCCTTATCCAAAATAAAGACCTACATGTAGTTGATATCTGTTTCCTGAATAGTACACACATTTATTATTATTATTCCCTTGGGTTACGAGTGAAACATAAGGCTTCAACAACACGTCTCCACTTTCTTCTATCTCCTATTGTCCTCTTCATCTGACTGGCTCCAAGATTTCTCATCGTTTCTGCTCTCCTCCCTTCATTATCTCCTCTATGGCATCCTCGTTCCCCTTTCAGACTCCACTCGAGCGTTGGCTTGCATTGCTTCCGATGTTTTTTTAGGTGGTCTCTTCCGGGCCGTGTGCTCAATCCATCTCCAGTTTCTTTCACATAATTGTCAAACGATTGGTTCTCGATTAGTTTGTTCCCATAGTTCTTTGTTGGTGATTATTTCTGAGTATATACATTAGCCCCCCCCATTTAATGTACGCAATATTTTCACGTCTTCCGAATAAAAAACTATCGTATATTTTGTATACAAAGGAGGTACTGCTGCTTGCAATACTCCACTTTCTGCTTTATTCAAGAAGACGGCTTGCAGTTCATTCTTATTCTGCTTCGTTAATAAACGCGAATCTAATTCATGCAAGTAGACTGTCAAATCTTCGAAAACTTTTCAATTTCATAAGCAGCAAAGTACGACAGTGTTCGGCGAAAATGGAAAATATTTATAAGTTAAAATATCCTTAATCTTCTTGAGAAGTAATATTGTAACGACAGAAGACAAAGGCCAGGCAACAGATCGTTTATTGACATAATCAAGAGATTTTTATGTACATTATTAATCGTTATTGTTAGCAGATGAACAGTGTCTTCTGATTGATTGTTTTCTCGTTGAAAGTTAATCTGTCATCTCTTTGTGGTGGTTTCTTTGAATGTCAAATCATATATCTGCGAATCGTTTTTGCGCACGTCAAGTCTGCTGTGGTTGGTTGGTGAGTTCCTCCAGGTTAAGCTTTGTTACTGTCTTTTTCTCATGATCCCGACTCCGGACGTAAACACCGACGTAAATTACTGCCTACAATTTTGGTAAGCAGACGGCTGTCACCATACTTTGGTCAATAAAGTTTAAGCTAAGAAGTAATTCAAAATTGATCATCTAAAAGTCTTCATTTTGATCTCTAGCAGTGGATTCTTGGTTGATGTGTTGTGCTGAAGAGTCCCAAACAAGGAAGAAACAGCTGTTCTCGGGTTTTAAATAATTCTCTAACCGTAGCCAGTTTACGATTACTCTTGAAATCAATCAAGCCTCCTTAAACCAACAATTCAATACTTGAAAAGGCATAAAATAAAGAACATTAGATATCCTGATGATAGAGGTCATATCTTTCTGTTACTTCCTCATATTTTTATTGTACTCATGAAAACGAAAAATGTATAAGGCATATTTTTGTTTACGGTTTCTTTTCCTTCATTTGTTTTTTGTAGATTAATGAATTGACTAACCAACTGAATAGTCTACCATTATTTGCGTTATTAGCCTCTGGTTTTATAACCTATCTATCAGCTTGTCCTGAAGATGTACGTCGTCAACAGACATCGAAATGGATTGAAAATTTAACTAGTCTTGGAATGATGCCATCATCATTATCATCATCGGGATTAGTACAAGGTGGTAAACAGAATTTTGATTTATTGCGATTTTTATCTACTGAACGTGAACAATTAATCTGGCATAGTCAAGGTTTACCATCAGATCAATTGTCAGGCGAGAATGTTGTAACAATTATTCATGTAAGTAGACTATTTTATTCTATTGATTATAATTATTCAACAAGGCTTAAGAGTTGTAAAGATCATTTTGGTATAAAATTGTATAATATAGAGATTAGGTTTGAAGTGTCATCTAGTAAATAGTATCCTGCTTCATAGTGTGGTGAGAGCAGGCCGTGAGAAAATATGTACAAGGCTGATTTAACAACCAATCACAGCAAAGTTAACGTGGCAAAATATGATTCGCAGATAGAGAACTCTATTTGTCGAGGAATCCCGAAACAACCAATCAGAAGCCTGCGTTTGTCTGCCTAACTTTTGATAAACAACCAATCAGATGACTGCGCTTGTCTACTTGCATAAGCTATAATAATGTATGTGAAATATATATAAATACGTGTTGATTTTCATAATAAAACGATCTGTTGCCTGGCCCTTGTCTTCTGTTGTTACAATAGTATTAGTATAATTATTCCCTTGCATTCCGTGTGGAATATAGGGCTACGACAACAGATCTCCACTATGTTCTGCTTTATGCCATCCTCTTCAGCTGGGTTCACGATTGACCAAACTGTCTCATCTCTTCCTCACACAGTCTCATCCATGTCACCCTAGGACAACCCACTCGTAGATTCCCAATGGGATTGCACTCGAGGTATTACCTGGCATGCGTCGTCATTCGACGGCCTCCTCAAAGTATGACCGATCCATTTCCACTTTCTCCTGTATATTTGTTGAGCGATCGGCTCTTGGTTGGTTTGTTCCCATAATTTCTTGTTGCTTATTCTTTCTGGTGGCCAATTTATCTTCAGCATGGAGCTAAGGCAGTTGTTGATAAAAATCTGCAACCTGTTAGAAATCCTTTTCGTGATACGCGGTGCAAGTTTCTGACCCGTCTAGAAGAACCGACTTCACATTGGTGTTGAAAATGCGAATCTTATTCTTCATGTTGAGTGCGGAATATTTCCAAACTGATTTCAGGTTGATAAAGGTGTATCATGCCTTTCCGATTCTGACGTGCTTTGAAATCTTCTTCCTTTCCGCCTGTAGTTGAAACGATACTTCCCAGATAAGTGAAGAAGGCAACCTTTGTTAAAGTAATCCCATTGATGGTGATTGGTGCTGGTTGTTGCTGCTGTTGGTTGAACATACAGGATACCGATGGCTTATTTCATCCAATCGTGCAAACACCTTTCATGTGAAATGCATGTAAATGGAAATTCTTATAGTAATTCATTGACAAAGATGCTAGTCCAATTTAAAAATGATAAAGTTATCACTTGTATAGATATTTTTTGAACTTAGTTATGTAGCTGTGGAGTAGACTGGTTGCTTACATCCTGTTAAGTGAATCAAGACTCGGCCTTCTTTTAATCTACTAGTTCAAGGGAAAAATGTATTGGCAAAGTTTTTCACAAAACCTGATTTTCTTTTTGTTTTCACATTTTACTTATTGATTATAATTTCATTAGAAACCACCGACTATGCACTGAAGACATACTTGGTGATGTTGAAGAAAGAAAGTCGACACAAACTCTGGTTGATAATAATTATCCAGACAAATTCATTAGGAGATATAAAGTAGTCAGAATACCAAGACCCGCTCTTCAACTCACCACCAAGAAAGAAGTGTGCATCAATCTGCTCTATATGGATTATCATAGCAGCTTGACAACTAGACAAAGATTGATCACTGATATTTAATAAAGGCTTTTTAAGCAGCTAGGATCATAATAATTGAGAATTTCAAGCCAATATATCCGTCTAAACATTAGAACATACGAAAAATTCATGAATAATTCCCATTCGAACATTAGTAGACAGAAGACAAGTAGTTCAGCGAAGAGTCTCTTTTCGGCGAATTCATTTTCATAGCTGTACAATCGCAAATATATATGGTTATTTTGTGTGTGTGTGTATACATTAAATTTGTCAAACGAAAATACAATTAGTAGGTTCAGATGAATTGGATGTTGATAAGAGGATAGCAACAAAAGTGATGAGTTGTCATAAATGATTGTTAAATAAGAGTTACGTAATGGCATGAATAGTTTGATGAATGAGTTGTGCTCAAAGGGTGTACATGGAAACAAAATAATATACAGAATTACACAAGGGTTTTAAGTTAGAAAAATAAGCATACAAACAGAAGTAAGGTCAAATCAAACAAACAAAGAAAAGTTAGGTCAAATCAAAGGAGTAGTTACCATGCGAGTAAAAGTGGTTGGATAATTTTCTTTTGTATGCATAGTTCTGGTTCCTCCAACTGGATGGCTAGGGCTTCTGCGATGCAAAGAAGACGGAATCGTACTGTCTTTGGAAGGTTGTTCTTCACTTTGTAGATTACTTTGAAGGAGGCGTTCGTTGAGATGGAATGACCAGTATTGACGAGATGTTCGATTATTGCACTCCTTATATGGCCATTATTTCCTTTCTGTAGCCACGCTGGATAGTGTTCTTTTACCCTTTTAGACAGGATGCGCGTTGAACGACCGATGTACCTGGCTCCACAGCAACAGGTGAACTGATATATACACATAGAAGTGGTCATGTGCGGAATCTTGTCCTTTGGGTTTCTGCAGATCAGCGGGCGACTGGAGAACACTATTCTTAGTGTTGCCGCAGGGAATTCGCCGAAAAGAGACTCTTCGCTGAACTACTTGTCTTCTGTCTACTAATGTTCGAATGGGAATTATTCATGAATTAAAAAGTAGCAAGAATCCCTCGACAGTCAAGGAACTCAATGGGTTTCTACGGTACTCTGTCAAACTTGCGATAGTGAAAGCGAAAATTACCTTTTTCAATGATTGTATCACCAATCGCGAATATCCAAAATGGTTTTGGAAAGCATTGAGAAGAAGCCACATATACCCCAACACAAAATCCCTCCGACGACATGCATTGAATCTTATTGACTCTATTAAAGCCCGTATTCCAGAACTTCAACGCAACATTTCACAAAGGTCTCCAGCCCTCCACGATCTGCTACCTAGTGAAACCCAGAGGTTTACGGAATATGTCAATACAGTCACTGATAAACGAGCACAATCTACTATTTCCCGACTCACCAAAAGCCTCAAATCCATCAAAGCACAGAAACAATTTCCTGAAGACCCTTCGAAATTCGTATTCAACTACTCTTCAGTAGCTTTATCCAACCTACAGTTAGAAGCCCTATCCATGGGCCCAAAATTCTGCGACGTCAACTTAAACGCCAACAGACTCCATACGCAAGTACAATTCGAAAACCTAATGACCCAAACAAATGATTTAACCCCAACCTCCGAACAAGAATTGCAGCGTTTCAAATCAACAATAATCGATAGCTGTTATCAGTATCTTAATACAAAACCAAAAGTATACAACCACCTGACAAGGCAACACAGAGAAGAATTAAATCAACTAAAACAAAATGAAGAACTCCTTATAACTCGTCCAGACAAAGGAGCCGGTATAGTCCTTATGGACAAGAAAGACTACATTGAGAAAATGAACAACATCTTGTCAGATAAAACAAAATTTTCGCAAACACCCAACGAAAGAAACAAAACGGAACAGATTGAAAAGCAACTCACCGATGTCCTGAAAAGAATGCAAACCCAAACGTTAATCACTCATGAAGTCTATGATCAGATCCGACCGACAGGGTCAACAATACCAAGACTATATGGCTTACCAAAGACACATAAAGCCAACCTCCCACTTCGTCCAATTCTGGATATGTCAGGTTCCCCGTACCATTCAATAGCGAAATGGCTCACTGACATTTTAGAACCTGTACGAAAACGAATGTGCCACCATTCACTTCGCGACACTTTCCAATTCGTCGATTACATTAAAGATATCAATACAAAGGACAAAACTATGCTCTCCCTCGACATTGAATCACTATTTACCAACGTTCCACTCACAGAAACTGTCTCTTATATTTGTCACTATATCGACGAAAATCAGCTGAACATCGGATTACCGACGACCTGTTTAAAAGAACTACTACTGAGATGTACACTAAATGTGCAATTCACATTCAACGACATTATTTACAGACAACAAGATGGGATCGCAATGGGATCTCCACTGGGCCCATTACTAGCAGACTGCTTCATGGCAAGCCTCGAGAATGGCCCACTCAAATCAACCATCGACAATTTCCAGTTGTACGTTAGATATGTTGACGACATCTTTATCATCTGTGATGACGGTCACGATCTCAATCAACTACTGCAAATATTCAACAAATGCCATCCAGCCACAAATTTCACTTTGGAAACTGAAAATGAATCTAAAATCCCTTTTCTTGATGTCGAGCTTACAAGGAGAGATGACGGAACTTTAAGAAGGTCAATCTATAGGAAACCGACTTGGAACGGACAATTAACAAGTTTCTACAGCTGGGTACCAATCAGTCGGAAAAGAAACCTAATTAAATCCCTTGCCACTCGCGTCAGACGCATCTGCAGCTCCGACACCATGGAAGAAGAACTAAACTTCCTGAAAGAAATCTTCATACAAAATGGCTACCCACCAAGATTTGTAGAGAAAAACATCAAACAGAAAAACCAAAAGCAAGAGACACTATCCGTGCCGAAAAAGATACTTTATATGAACCTAGACTTCAAAGGAGACCTATTTAGTGACGTCCTCAGAAGGAGAATTTCCACCTCTTTAGGAAGAACTTTCCCTGCGGCAACACTAAGAATAGTGTTCTCCAGTCGCCCGCTGATCTGCAGAAACCCAAAGGACAAGATTCCGCACATGACCACTTCTATGTGTATATATCAGTTCACCTGTTGCTGTGGAGCCAGGTACATCGGTCGTTCAACGCGCATCCTGTCTAAAAGGGTAAAAGAACACTATCCAGCGTGGCTACAGAAAGGAAATAATGGCCATATAAGGAGTGCAATAATCGAACATCTCGTCAATACTGGTCATTCCATCTCAACGAACGCCTCCTTCAAAGTAATCTACAAAGTGAAGAACAACCTTCCAAAGACAGTACGATTCCGTCTTCTTTGCATCGCAGAAGCCCTAGCCATCCAGTTGGAGGAACCAGAACTATGCATACAAAAGAAAATTATCCAACCACTTTTACTCGCATGGTAACTACTCCTTTGATTTGACCTAACTTTTCTTTGTTTGTTTGATTTGACCTTACTTCTGTTTGTATGCTTATTTTTCTAACTTAAAACCCTTGTGTAATTCTGTATATTATTTTGTTTCCATGTACACCCTTTGAGCACAACTCATTCATCAAACTATTCATGCCATTACGTAACTCTTATTTAACAATCATTTATGACAACTCATCACTTTTGTTGCTATCCTCTTATCAACATCCAATTCATCTGAACCTACTAATTGTATTTTCGTTTGACAAATTTAATGTATACACACACACACAAAATAACCATATATATTTGCGATTGTACAGCTATGAAAATGAATTCGCCGAAAAGAGACATACGAAAAATGTTGTCATATCCCACTGAATTTACCAGATTGAATGTATGTGTAGACATACATACATAGGAAGGATTCATCGATCTCTGCATATTCCTAAATGGCTTCAGAAGCAAATAGAATCCTCAGAACCCATTAATGGTGAGAACAGATGACCTAGCTCTTCTATTGTGAAACATATTATAGTGACAGGACATAAAATTGATGTTTACACTTCGTTAAAACTTATCTAAAAAACGTGTCTGGGGTGAGGTGTATCCTAAAGTTTTTGGAAGTCCTAGCTGGCAACTAAAAAGTTTAAACCACCTTTATGCGTTCAAAACAACAATTCGTCATCACACTAAACCTTCTTTGGTAAACTTTGTTTTGATACTAGCCATGACTGATGTACTATTACCTCTGTTTATTTGGTTTAGTCATCTTCATTGTTATTTTGCCCTTTAATATGTCCCTTTAACTTGACCTAAGTCTATTTTCTCACATCTTAATTCTTTATTAATTTCGTAAATATATATTACAATGCCAAAATCCTTGGGTGTGATCAGATTGTTCGAAATATGTTGCTCAGATACATTACACACACGATTCAGACAAATTATGTCTTCTTATTGATTTGTCTGAATTCACAAAGGGAACTAATTGTTTTACAAAAAGGGTTATAACTTCATTTTTATTCATTTTAGACTGAAATGTGTCCATTTATTGTTGATCCTTCGTTAAGAGCGCTAAATTGGTTGAAAGAGTATTTAAAGGATCAACGTTTAGAAGTTATCAGTCAACATGTAAGTTGCTTGAAAGTAAAATATAAAAGCCACTTCAATTTTATACTTTATTTCACTTCCTGTAGTAGTTTAGCGTTCATCAGTAAGATAACATGAAGTTCTTTACTGAAACCTGACAAATTTAAAACGATATTGATGGATCGGTGTGAACCGACTTCCAGTTTTAAAGATAGCAAGTGAAAATGATGAAGTGAGTTGACCACTTCACTAGGCGAAAAAAGTTGTATCTTCCCCCAAAATGGACTGATTACTGACGAAATCTCAATTTAGATGCAAAAGGTTCATCTGGCATTTTATATATATATATATATATATATATATATATATATATATATATATATATATATATATATATATATATATAACTTTTTTTATATTTTTGATTACAGCTTGATTCCACAGTGTATTTTTGGTACATGTATGGAATTTTCAGCATGGATATCGGCAGCCCAAATTTTGCAGGCCGACCGTAGATATCAGGTGTGCGTCGGCAGGGGATCGAACCTCGGCCCATGTGCATCGTCGGCGAGAGTCCTAACCACTCTGCCACCAACGCTTACCGATTTGGATCACTTTTTCAGTAATCGTAATATCTGAATATCGATGAAAAACATCGTGTGTACACTAAGCCAGAAACCTCAACAACTATGTCCAGGGCTTCCTGACAGTTGCCTTCAGCGATCTACCATCATCCTAATCAAATACTATTCTTGTCTGTAAGTTACCTACAGTGAGATCAACCTGTATTTAGATGGTTGGAAGCAATCAGGAGGAAGCCCTCAACCTGGGTTTCGTGCTAGTTGGCACTCACCAGACAGCAAGGGGTATCTGCAACCACCTTGAAGAAACTCATGTCCCTTCTGAGATTCGAACCCACGTCACCCAGTCCTGCAGTCAGAGGCGCTACCATCGAGCTATCCGGGCTCGTGATTGACCTTCTGTAGGAGTGTATTAGGCACTTTTGATTGGACACTAACTAGACACGTGACACTAATTAATATCCAATCATAGGGAACCTGTATTTATCTATACCTGTTATATTACCATCAAAACTTAATATTCTTTATAGCCTCTGTTGATTAGCTGCTTTAGCTATTTCATTATGCGTTAGTTTACATGTCCTTTTCAAACCAAAAAAAAACTTCTCAAGACTAATCTTTACACAGGATTGGATTTAATAAATCACAAAAACTTGTCGCCGAATATACTATACCATCACACAGCAGATAGTATCTATCATGTGAGTTAATAGTTCATCAGTAGAATGCTTGTCACCCACGCAAGAGGTTTGGATTCAGTTTCTGGCGAACTGCCTCCTAAACCTTATCTAGTCCAGTTGTAATCCCGGCAAAAAAGAGAGAAAGAGAAGGTTGAACATGAGACTAGTAACTTCACCTGGTAAAAAACAATACCATGGTTACTGAAACTTCGAAACTTAGAGGCTGAAGTCCTATGTTCCACTAGGAACGCAAAGAAATGGCCTTTCTATTCTCATGAACTAAACAAAATGTGGTTCATTATTTATTGCTCCAAATTTATTAGCGGTTAAAATTTAACCTGGAACTCACACACACATAAACTCATAAGTTCAAAGCTGTCAAGTCTCGCAAACCCTTTATGCTTAATTAATTGGATTTTAGATTTTCCCGTCGATTGATTGAACGGTTGACATGTCAGCTTCTTGTGCAAATGCTTCGACGATGTCTGGGCATGTAATTAGAATTCAGTTAAATAATTAATATGACCCATTTCACAAGAGGTGGCTCTCGTCTCTCAAGCAGTCTAGTGGATAGAACTTTGGAGCTTGAAAACTATGGGAACTGGATTCGAGCCTTGGTGAAAACATCATCACTCACTGGGGAATACAGGCACATCCAGATGATGAGTCCCAAATAGGACGAAATGCACACAGCCTGGATTCTACTGCTAGTCACCAACCACCAAATAAACTAAGGGCTAAATGTTCACTCTGTCTTGCTAACCTCCTTCCTCCCTTCCTTCCTTGCTTCCTTCCTTTTTTTTACAGAATCCTAATTTTATCACTACACTTGAATTGGCTGTAAGATTTGGTAAATGTTTAATTATTCAAGAAGTTGATGAAATTGAACCAATCCTGATGCCAATTTTATCAAAAAATTTAATTACACAAGGTAAGTGAATCAGAGATTTTTTTTCCTTATTTGATTAATTTCTTTATCTTTATGATTTCCCAACCAGCAAGGATAATAGTCATCGAAGAAAATTTTGATATCGAAAGTATTCCACTACTGTGATACACTAACTTCGCCAAGTTTACTAGCTTGCTACTTTTCTATCGGGTCCTAAGCCAGGGTAAAGAGAGACGGTTGGGTGAGGGGCTAGCGGCCCCCTACACTACAAAACCAATCAAACAGCTACAGAAACTTCAACGCACAAAAAATATATTAAAAATACAAAGAAAATTCAGAAATCAAACTTACTCTTCTCTGGTATGGAAGAGGCGAAATGACTTTGCGGGCTGGTGAAGGTTTTTGGGAAGCCAGTCAGCCGATATGTCTTCTCTCTCGATGAAATCAAGACCAAGAATGGGGAGATGACAATGCCAGGTGTCAGGTGATCCACAACGGAAAACTCAGTGAGGCGTCTGAAGTGAAGTGAATACAGGAGTAAGACACGACTGGCTGCTTATTAATACCGATGGTATTCCTAGCTGTAGTGGACTGGATTGTACGGAAGACCGTGTCTTTGTAGTGAGAAGACAGGAATACTTTGAACCACCAATAAGAAGGAAGACTCTACAACATCTGGATTTCATGTGTGGATGATTTATGTTTAATTGTCATACAGATTCGAAGACTTGCAGGAAGGCGAAAACCAAAAAGCTGGCTGGAGAAGCAGACAGCCGGCGAAGACAGGACTTCAAGTGAACACAGAGAAGATGGAGGTGACGAAGATAACCAACTAACCCTTACCACCAACAACAGCAACAGCAGTAATGACAATCCGCACAAATCAACATCAACGAGAGAAATTTGACGACGAGGAAAGAAGCTCAGTTTCAACCACGCACAGTCGGACAGTACGGATAAAGATGTCAAAGTCAGCGAGAGTTGGAAAGGCAAAATACGCCTTCATCAACCTAGAACCAATGTGAAAATCTTCTGCTGTCACTCACTCAGCCAGCCAGCCAGCCAGTATAAAGCAAAAGATTCGGATTCTGATCAGCACAAATGTGAAGTCTGTCAGTCATTGAGTCATTGCTTCCATACAGGTCAGAAATTTTCACTGTGCGTTTGTCACGAAGAGGATATCCAACGAGCCAGTGCAGACTTTTACCAACATCTGCCACCTTCTCTGGCTGGCTGACTCCATACTGAAGGTGAAGTGGCCGGTCGGCTGGCCAGAAGGAATTAACAAAGAGAAGCTCTGGCTGAGAACAAACCAACAGGCGAGATTGGATTACTCAACAAATGTGTAGGAGAAAATGGAGATGGATCTGGTATACACTGAAGAAGCCGACCGAGTGATATCACGCGCAATGCAGGCCCTCACTCGAATGGAATCCGAATGGTAAGCGACGAGTGCATCGTTGGCACGAGGGTAGAGGTTGACACAGAGGAGATCGTGTTAGGTAGAGATGTGAGATTATTTGCAATGGTGGAACTAGCTGAAGAAGACTGCAGAAAATAGAGGAAAGTGGAGATGTGTTGCTGAAGCCGTATATTCCACTCAGAACCCAAGGGAATAATATATATATATATATATATATATATATATATATATATATTGGAGGATCTGGATTTCGCCGATGATATATGTCTGATTTCCCATAAACTGGAAGATATGCAAGTGAAAAGTAACAAGTTGGCAGAAGAAGCATCAAAGATAGGACTTCACGTGAACATAGATAAAACAGAGATGATGAAGATTCCTAGCCAACATCAACAGCAAAAACAACAACAACAGACAACAATCAGCATAAGTGGGAAGAACCTGAAAGAAACAACCTCCTTCACCTACCTGGGAAGCATCGTCTCAACTACAGGCGGAACTGACGAGGACATCAAAGCCAGAATCGGAAAAGCAAGACAGGCTTTCATTACTCTCAAATCTGTGTGGAGGTCAACAGCACTCAGCATCAAAAATAAGATCCGGATTTTCCACTCTAATGTGAAGTCAGTGCTACTATACGGATCAGAGACTTGGCGAGTCATAAAGAGCATCTTAAACAAACTTCAAACCTTCATTAACAGCTGTCTCCGCTCAATACTCAAGATCAGATGACCAGAAAAGATCAGCAACAGGGATCTCTGGGAGCGAACCAATCCAGCAGGAACCGATTGTGAAACAAATAGGCAGAAAGAAATGGAGATGGATTGGCCATACGCTGAGGAAACCATCAATTGACATCACTAGACAAGCCATTGCTCGAGTGGAACCCGAAAGGGAGGCGGTGAGTTGGTCGTCAGTGCAAGGGTGACTTGGAGGAGGTCATGCGAGGAGGAGATGAAAGCATGTGGACATACCTGGGGCGGGGTGAAAAAGTTGTCAGAAAACCGAAGGCAATGGAGGTGCTCAGCTGAAGCCCTATGTTCCTCTAGGAACTAAAGGATACAATAATACAATAATAATAATAATATATATATATATATATATATATATATATATATATATAAGAGCGAATTTTCTCGTAAAAAATAAATAAATTCATTGTTACAGTTCAGATAAACGAATGATAATCCCCTAGCCATAGATAATAAAATACAGTGAATAGAACTCATATGATCAAACAAAAGACAGAATTCGGTATCTAAGAATTAGAATGAAAAGGTGATCGTGTAATACAGTGAGGAGAACTGAAATTATACAGAATTAAGTCAAATGTGTGATAGTCAGGCGCCAAATGGAAAAAAATTGATGCAATCAGAAGAAAAATTGTTATTAAGGAGGGGACTAGCAGGGTGACTTAAGTCCCACGAGAGATTCCTTGTAGACGCAGGTCATATCTCAACCATTTTAGTGTAATAACTTTAATAAACAGAAGTAGACGTGGTCTGTTTTGTCTGTTAGTTATTTTGAATGCTCCCATCACGTCTACCCGGTGTTCTATGTCTATCAGGTGCTTGGTAATGAAAAAAGTTGAAACTGTTCGACTCCGCTTAATCAAAGGCTCTGACAGGAACGTATTCTACAGCAAGGCTAATCTCACTGCTACGAACATTCTACTCGTTGTACAGTCAAAAACTGATATGTATTCCTGATATATTACCTCCAGCTGTACATATCAATTCACATTTATCTGCGGGAGCCATTGTCACTGAGAGAACATAAAGAAGAAAATATGTCAGAATTTTTGAGCTTGTGACGCACACAGATTTTTATTGTATGCTACAGGTTGTAGGCAACTGAATAGAACCTACGGAATCAAGTAGATCCATATTATTCTGCGCCAATGTTTGTTCTTTCTCAGTTCAGATTTATAAATGTAAATTCGTATATGAATTATCCAGTGCTCCATAGTCTTTAAATATGATTTTCTCACTGATGTCGATACATGATGACACCTATACTGAAGTACCAGTTAGTTTTGTGAATATCACTCTAAATAATTATCGGATGTATTATTCATGAATTACCGATAGTCTTTTGCGGTTCCTTTTTCTTTCTACCTATTTTTTTTAATTAGGCTGTCGAAATTATGTAATGCTTGGAGAAAAGCTGATTGATTATCATCAAGATTTTCGCTTGTATCTGTGTACACGTGAAACACCAAGAACTGTGGGGAGTGTTAAACCAATCAGTGCAGCATCATTAGTGACTGTGGTGAATTTTATTACAACACGTACTGGATTAATTGACCAGCTTTTGGAAATAGCTTTACAAAATGAGCATCCAGAGTTAGAAAGTCGACGACAACAATTAGTTTGTGATGAAGAGAATATGAAAATTGAATTAGCTAAACTAGAAAATGATTTACTAGAGGTGAGTAGTCTTTATTTGTTGTTGTTTTTTTTCTGTGTATTTTGAACGTGCTTTGATAATGGCATTGATTTTCCATGGTTGGATTGCTAACCCAGTCCCTTCGTCCAAATGGTGTACCAGCTATTATCATCAATAAATATGCTGACATGAATCGGTAGAAGGTAGAATTCATGGGCCCTTGGGTTGGGTCCCAGCGGCTGGTGGGTTGGTACTGTCGAAGAGTCCCAAATTAGGATGGAGGAAACAGCTGTCCAGTACTCCCTGCAGGTCTTCCAATGGTTCTCTAACCGATGCCAGCTCATGATGAAATCCTCCAACCAATCAAATATGCTGATATTTTATGTCATCCTTCTACTGGTATTTTCAATAAATCATTTTTCAGTAATACTGTACCTACTTCTTGGAGGGGCATTTAAATTGTTCCTATGCCTAAATCATCAAGTTGATCAACTGGTAATTTCAGACCTATTGCCATTACTTCACTTTTTTTTAAACAGTGCAAAGACTAGTTTACTTAACCTTGAACCTTCATTGAAGGCTTTCAACGACCTTAATCAATTTGCTTACAAGCATAGTAGGTGTACTTCAAATACCACTGTCGTCTTATATCGTAATATTGTCTATAGTTTAAACAGAGGTGCCAAATATGCTCAGTGTACCTTCCCAGATTACACATCTGCCTTCCACTCTGTACCTAGGTCTCTTTAGTTAAACAAGCTTACTGGATTACCAAGTGGTTGCATTCCTATTTTTCTGGTAGGAAGCAGTACACTGTTTACAATGGGAAGGCTTTCACTGCTTCACTCACTCTTATCGGTGTTGCTGTCCTTTTCTGTTTTCCTTCGTCTTCTTCTTCTTCTTCTTCTTACATGAATCGTCCCATTCTGACGAAGCCGATTTTGTTAGATATGCCAATGATATGACTGTTTCGATGCCGGCGGTTACTTCTCAATCAGACTGTTCCAAAATGAATAACTCTTTATCAGAAATTAGTCAGTGGTCCTCGTCAAATGGTCTTAAGCCTAATCCCTCCAAATGTCAGCTGGTTATTTTTACTTTCAAATGGAAGTGTGACTTACGTGGATTGGTTAGTTCACACGGTTTCACTATCATAGATGTTACTAAATTTGAAACTAAATCGAATGTTAAATACCTTGGACTGTTAATTTCCCTTGATCACCTTTCCTGATCTTCCCACATCATGTTAGTTTCCAATAAGGAAGTTAAGACGATCTGGTATCATTCCGTCTCTACTGTTAATTCTTATATTCTGCCTATACTTCTCTACTGCTCCTCTTTAATCTTTCCCCAGATACTTAAGAAAAACTTTGTTATACTGCGTAGGGCAGTAAAAGCCGTCAGTAGGGTGAGTGGAGTGTTGCTAAACCAACTCATTAATACTATTGTAGATAGACATTTGGATTCCTGCAAGAAATCAACAAATACTATCCTATTCAAGTGTTGGTTTGTAGGGATGTGATTGGTTTCAGGATTTCATCATGAGCGTTTTTTTTCATCATCAAGTCGTGACCAGTAGGGTGCAGCTGGTCGGGTGTGAGGACAAATACTCGCCGAAGACATTGGCTAGCGGTCGCGCTATGTCGTGAATTGGCAGAAGTTAGAATTCAAGGACCATTGGATCGGGTCCCAGTGGCTTAATGGTATACGAGCTCACCTCGTAACCGGAAGGTCCTTGGTTCGAATCCCGGTGGGTGGGTACTGCTGAAGAGTTCCAGACTAGGACGAAACAACTGTCCAGTACTCCCAGCTGGTTTTCCAATGGTTCTCTAACTACTGTCAGCTCATGATGAAATCCTGAAATATTATCCTATTAGACTCAGAACATCCTGTCCATACACAACTCTCTCCTTGCATCTCATCAAGTGAGTAGTACTAGAATCAACTGTAGGAAAACGGTGTGCTCGGATAGCTCAGTACAAAAACTCTACAATACCTTATTTAGCCGGGACACATTTTTATGTAATGAGAAAAGTGTAAGACAGGAAATTACGAGCTTAAATAAGTTTTTCCCAAATTTTACTTTGCTGATTAGCTGGTTAATTTAAATCCTGTAAACCTGTTTACTCATTATACTCTAAAGCAGTGTACTTTTGCCCTGTTAGCAGTAAGAGTAAACTCTATAAGGTATACAATAAAATGTCAATGTGAATTATGATAATTAAATGACATTTGAATAATGGGATGATATCTAAATTCGTAAAAAATGAGACAAGATGCATTTTTGTAACACACAGTTGATTTATTTCATTACTTTGTGTCCCTAGTGGAATGTAGGGATTCAAGCTTTAAGGTTTTCGAATTTTCGGTAGCGGCAGTGTTGTTTTTACGGAGTCAATTAGCTTGCCTTACACATCCAGTCATCCCTTTTCACAAAGCTTACTGTGGTCTAAGCAAGGTTTGGGAGTGCGTTGATGGTGGGAGCGAATCCTGGACCACATTCGTGGTTGGCAAGTATTTTCTACCATTAAACCACCATCGCACACAGTTAAACGAAATGGCATCAGTTGGGTAACTATTGTAAATTAAACAGTACAGAAGTGGAATTCGTTAGCCAGTGTGTATTCCATTTAGACATTCTAGTCTTGTTACCAGAAGGTTCTAAGTTCAACTCAGTGTAAAGCCATGAGTATTCTTCACGCAAACTGGTAAAAAGCAGTTGTCTACTACTTCATGATTTCCGATGGTTCTCTAACTGATCTCACTTGTTGACGAAATCAAATCTTCACAAACGAAGCATTTGAGAAATTTTACGTATCTTAACAAGCATCTGTTCTGTTTCTTCCATTATGGGTAAATTTTGTTTTGATAAAGTCTCACAGTGTTATACAGTAATTGCATGGAGGATTTAATCATGAGCTGACATCAGTTAGAGAACCACTGGAAAACCTGGGAGTACTGGACAGCTGTTTCGTCCTAGTGTAGGACTCTTCAGCAGTACCCACCCACCGGGATTCGAACCCAGGACCTTCTGGTTACAAGGCGAGCTCATAGACCATTGAGCCACTGGGACCCGATCCAATCGTCCTTTAATTCTAACTTCTGCCAATTCACGACATGGCGCGACCACTTCGCAATGTCTTCTTCGATGAGTTACTGCCTCATCTAACTGATGTCAGCTCATGATTAAATCCTCCATGCAATCAAACAAAATCCCTACAAAACCAATACTTGAAAATTATACAGTAATGTTTACTGATGACGTTTCGAGCACAATTTATTGCTCATATTCATATCAAGGTAATCACACGACTTCCTAAATTCATTTATATAGTTCCATTGTTTTTCTCTTTATTTTCACTTGATTTGATTGGTAATAGTATTTTCCATATTTCGGGTATGAGTGACGAGTCATTCCTATTGCATGTGTTGGGTGTAGACTCGATGAACAAGGATTCAGTAATCAACCTCTTTCTATCCACCTACCTAGATTACTTTTTAGAATTTTAACCCTCTCCCACCCTATTGTGTGGTTGTGTGTTAGCGCATGCATTGCAATTGCTGAGCTTTTTTCTAAATTACTTATCTTTTCAGGGTCAACCATTCTTACCTTAGCTAAATTCTTATGCTCTGACAATCTGACAACCCCTGATCTACTAGTTTGACCTATGTAGTTGACCTCACAGTCATTGCATGGTATTTTGTAAATAATATTATTTTGTCTAATTGGGTCAACTGGGTCCTTTAACCTACAGAGCTTGTCCCTGAGTGAGTTTGTAGGTTTAAATGCCACCCTAATTCCTATTTTATTCAGAATCCTACGTAGTGTCTCAGATGTCCCCTCTTTATATGGTATAACTGTGGATGACTTATATTCTTTCTTATTTATGTTATTATTACTAGTTTCACAATTATTTTTATTTTGTTTTTGGCCTTTAGTGATCTTTCTAATGATTTTTATAGGATAGTTATTCAACACCAACGCTTCTTCTATCTGTTTTAATTCATCATTTAGATCTTTTTTTGTGCTACTTAGTGCCACTGCTCAGTTTGTTAAACATTTAACTAAGCCTGCCTTAACAGTTAAAGGATGAGACGAATTAAAGTCTAAATATCTATTAGAATGCGTTGGTTTTCTATAAACACTAGTGTGTAGTTTGCCTTCTTCTATTCTTTTTATCTTACAATCTAACATAGCTAATTCTCCTTGTTCATTTTCTGATTTACCCATAATGGAATTACACTCTACCACAGTGCACAAGTTTTATTCTTATATCAATGTTCTGTTTCTCTCCTAGTTATTGTCAAAGAGAATATTGTCAAGATGGCAGCTAGTTTATTTTGGAATAAAAACATTTGCCTTACTTTAGCTTGAAATAGATCATTAGTAAATGATCGTGATCCCGTATGAAATTGATCTTGGAATCATCAAGTATTGTGATAGTTACGAGTGGAAGTACATATAATGAATCAATTATACTGTTTATTAAAAGTGAAAGATGTAAAGGATAGTATTTTAATATCGATACCATTCAAATATTTTGTTGAGTATAATATATATTACTAACAAGTAGTTTGTAGGCTTTTCAATTCTAATTTTCAAGTATTGGCTAAAGGTATTTTATTGGTACTGATTTTGACCAGTCAGTGACATCAGTCAAAGAACCATTAAAAACCAGAGATTATTGGACAACTATTTCGTCCTAACTGGGAACTTTTTAGTAGTGCACATTGAGGATAGATTCGGGTATCTTCAAGTTACAAAGCGAGCTCGGTGACCATTCATCTACTGTAACGAAATCCAATGGCCAGTCTTTCAATTCTAACTCCCATCTACTCGAGGTTTTTATTGCTAACCAGGACCATCAGTGTCTATATGTCCTCACACCAAATTTGAGAGGACCCCACTAGTCATGACTTCTCACTATAATTTAGACAACTCCTTCCTTTAGTCAATCACCAGTGAGCATCAAATCAATTCTCAAGTGTTAAGACAAGCAACAGAGGTCAACAAAGCAGAATTTGATTAATTCATCAAATTTCGGTAGAACTCTCCACCGGAATACTCTACATACGGAGCCATATATACTATGGAAAATAAATTTGGAGATATAAGATCGGTGGCAGAATGGTCATGACTCTCACCGACCATGCATATGGTCCGAGGTTCGACCCCCAGCTGACGCAAACCTGATATCTATGGTCGGCCTGCAAAATCTGGGCTACCGATAACACATGCTGAAAATTCCATAAATGTACCGAAAAATACGGTGTGGAATCAAGCTGTGATCAAAAAAGTAAATAAACTACATTGAATTAATTATGCAAAATGACGTGTGAATGTTTTTCAGGTCATGTTCAAATAGATAAGAGGAAGAGAGTATACGAGAATAAAATTAAGATAAAATGTATTACGCCGTGATTACATCACTTAGATAAACAATTAATCATTAGACAAAGAACTTTAATATGTCAAGAATTGCGAGCTGAGTAACATTAATAGTAATAGTGTGGTGAGAGCAGGCTGCTAGCCGATTGGTTGGCACTAATCTACGTTAAGGTCTAGGTCACTAATGTGGGCCGTGAGAAGATATGAACAAGCCTGAGTCAACAACCAATCACAGCAAAGTTAACGTGGCAAAATATGATTCGCAGAGAGAACTCTATTTGTCAAGGAATCCCGAAACAACCAATCAGAAGCCTGCGTTTGTCTACCTAAACAACCAATCAGATGACTGCGCTTGTCTATAATAATGTAGTTGAAAGATGTATAAATACGTGTTGATTTTCATAATAAAACGATCTGTTGCTTCGCCCTTGTCTTCTGTTGTTACGTTTGGTGTCGCTGCCTACCGACAAATGAAAAGCCTATACCCTGCAGTTTTTGATGGAGACATATGGATCTTCGGGCAGGACTTCAAGGCTTCTGCGCAGTTGAGTGGCGTTCAAGATCTGTCAGCGATGGAGCTGCTACTTGAGACGCTGCTGGGAGGTCGGGCGAAAGCAGCATATGAAGGTGTGGGCCGAAGTATGGACGAATGTTCGACAGGGTCAGGCAAACAGTTTCCAAAGTGGGAAGGACCATATATGGTCACTTCGAGATGGGGTTACGCAGACACAGTCGCAATGGCGAACAATAAGAGGCGCGTGAACGTCAGTGAGCTCCAGAAATGGATACAGCGAGACAAGCCAACGATGACGCCTGCACCAAGTAGATCAAGCCGACTTCAGTCGCACGTATTTGACGGGGGGACGAGTGTGGTGAGAGCAGGCTGCTAGCCGATTGGTTGGCACTAATCTACGTTAAGGTCTAGGTCACTAATGTGGGCCGTGAGAAGATATGAACAAGGCTGAGTCAACAACCAATCACAGCAAAGTTAACGTGGCAAAATATGATTCGCAGAGAGAACTCTATTTGTCAAGGAATCCCGAAACAACCAATCAGAAGCCTGCGTTTGTCTACCTAAACAACCAATCAGATGACTGCGCTTGTCTATAATAATGTAGTTGAAAGATGTATAAATACGTGTTGATTTTCATAATAAAACGATCTGTTGCCTGGCTCTTGTCTTCTGTTGTTACAATAGTTGTAATAATATTAATGCTGAAACGAGTTAAGATAATGCGCCTGATAAAAGATAGTTTTAAATGAATCAGGAATAATAATGATAAGAGGTAGAATAAAGTGTTAATAATATTAATAGTAATAATAATAATAATAGCGGTTAATAAGTAAAAAGTCTTACCATAGTAGATTCAAAATGACGACCGTTTCCTTTTGTACACAGAGACCCGGTTTATAAACTCTAATTGTACAAGCCTCCACCGCACTTGTAAGCACCTTCCTGTTTCTTTGTCAGCTGACAGTAACAGTGAATGACTGGACAGCGTTAATATTATGTCCGCAGTTCATAAGGTGTTTTGTTATATTGGGAGTTTTGGCACTTTAAACTCAGTTGTTTTCAGCTACTTTGGCAAGTTCTCCATCATGCGGTCGTAGACAGTCACCTTTCTGTACTATCTCTGTATTCGCTTTCACAAACACACTCAAATTGATGTATACGTAGTTTGAAGTGTCGTATTTGGGAAATAAATGTCTCCAATTCTCAAGTGTTAGTATGTAGAGATTTGATTAATTTTAAGTTTGTTCACGAATTGATATCAGTTAGAGAACCATTTTTCGTAAAAAATTACTTCTCTGATAATATGCTTATGTCTTCTGTAAATAACAGATTATTCTACTCACTTAACCATGTTGTTTTCATTGCCTTATATATTTAATTTGAAAAAACAAAACAATGTCACAGGAGTTATCCAATGCACATGGTAATATTCTGGAGAATAAAGAACTGTTAATATCACTGAATAAAACTAAACAGTCAAGTTTAATTGTGACAAATTCATTGAAAGAATCACTACGCTTACAAGATGAATTAGATAAGGTAAGTAGAATTTTTATTTTGTTTCCCTTTATTAATGGTGGATTTCAACAATATTACTAGTAATAACTTAAGTAGTATTGTTATGATTAAAAGTTATTAGCATACAAGAGAAGCGCCATATGAAATCTCATAGTCGTTGTAAGGGCTGGAATACTACCCGGAGGCTAAGACCGAAGTAATTGGCTGTCTTAAAAGGGTCAACTTCTAAGCCTTTAACTTGAAGTCTGATCTATGGTTTCCAGTGACCAAAGGACGTTCATACGCTATTCGATCCTTTCGGATTCTAGAGCTTATGTACATCTCATAAGTTTGGGACCAAGGTTTCCCAACCCCACCTCCTTAGGTGGAGCAGCGCCAGATGTTAGATATGATAGAGAAGATTTGTAGCTCAGGTGGATGATTTTGATGTGGTTGTGTTCTCTGAGCTGGATGGTCAATTTGCGAAGCTTTCATCACCCTACAGGGTGACATCTTCAGCGCATACTTCAGTTTGAAGTGAGCTTTTAGATTTCTCCACGAGTTTATTAATCATCTCTCCTGGTGACCTTGGACGTGACTGGTTGTTTTTGTGTGTTTTCACACCTTCTAGGTTACTTGTATTGGGACTGATTGTTTCTTTGACTTGAACTTTGACCCTTTGTGTGTGGGGTTTCTTTCTTATCGGTTGATAAATTTTGTCTATCTCTATGTGTCTATTGATTAATGATTCACTGGAATGCCAAGCTTCTAAAAATTCTCTAGCATTCTTGTTGTTTCCTCTGTCTAATATTTGAACGTTGGTTGTCCCAGTCGAATTGATGTCCGTGGTTGTCTGTGTGGAGTGATATGAGGGAGTGGATATCATGTGTTTTGACGGCTAACTTATGTTCGTGGATACGAAGACGAAGGGGACGTCCACTTTGGCCAATGTATTTTTTTTCGCAGTTGTTACAATTTATTTTGTAGATGATGTTGGTTTTATCTTCTTTCGCTGTTGAGTCTTTTGGTTGACATAGAATTGAGTGAAGCGACTTTGTTGGTTTGTGTATGACGTCAATTCCTAAAGGTTTGAAGAGTCTTGTAGTGATTTCTGAGATATCCTTTATATATAGTAATGCGATTTTCTTTGTGCTTTCCTTGGTGGCTTTCGGTTTGATAGGTTGGCTTGGGGGTATATGTCTTTTGATGAAATTCCGTGGATATCCATTCTTTTGGAAGATGTCCATGAGATACTTTTCTTCAATTTTCCTTAAGGTGGGAGTGCTACACTGAGTCCTGGCTGGCTCTCTTGAATAGTGTTTGTATGCAGTTCCTTTTGTGTGTTATTGGGTTGTTGCTGTTGTAATTTAGGATTTGGTCTGTGTGAGTTGATTTCCTATAAACTTGAGTTTCGAATTCTCCTGTAGTTGTTCGCTTGACTAAGACGTCCAAAAATGGTATTTTGTTCTCGGATTCCCCTTCTCTTGTGAATTTGATGTCGTTGAAGATGTTGTTTATTAAGTTGTGAGTTTTATCTAATTCGTTTCTTTTGATTATTACAAATGTGTCGTCGACGTAGCGTATCCAAATCTTGGGTTTTAATCTTTGTTAGAATTATGTTTTCGAGTCTTTGCATCACTGCTTCTGCAATAAAAGTATTAGGATTCTCTGAGAGCTGATAGAATCGAAATGGACTCTGCAAATTGTTAACTGGAGAGTTAACTATCTACCCCAGTTACCTACCCAGATGAAATTGTAAACTGTCATTTAGACAAATATATTAAACTTTGAGTTGTATAAGTTCACATGACACAGGATTTCAGCAATATTTGACTAACTGACTGACTAATGTAGAATTTTGCATAAAATTGAAACAGTTCAAGTTGTCACATTTCATAAAAGCCCACACACTCTTACACAAAATACAAAGGAACCATAGTAAACAAAAGTGTACAACAGAAAGAATATTTACATCAAAAATAATAAGAATTTAATAAATCTAGAAGATTATAAAGAGTAAATGCATTTGCACCGCTTAAAACAACATAATTCAACATTCGATTAACATTAGAACAAGACATATAAGCGAACAATATTGTTTTCAATTAGATCTTCTTCAGGCTTTACTCTAATTTACATAGACTTATATATATAAAATTTTAACCAATGACGGTGATTTAGTGGATCAAATAATAATCGTAATCATAATAATAAAAATGATAATAATAATAATAGTAATAATAATGTGGTAAATGTTTTGAACGAAGTTAATAACGATGATTATAATAATAACAAAATATTGTTAATAAGGCTTATATAGGTGATAAGAATAACAAAGTTAGTATATGCATATATGTAGACAATTCAATAAATAAATAAATTAGGTCAAATCAAATGGAACGATAATCAGAGTTTAAATAAATATCATAAAAGTACGAAGGAGAGGGATGAGAGGAGAAAGCTATATAGGCCGAACAACTAGGCAGCTTAACAAACGCATTAATGAGCATCTTCCTTCATGGTTCGGAAAAGGTTAAATAAAGTCCATACGAAGTTCTATTTTGGCTCATTTGATTGATAGTGGTCACCAAGTGGACAAAAATAGTGCTTTCAAAGTTATTTACCGCATTCCATCAAGCCTTTCGAACGGAATCAGAACCCGTCTTTTACACTTAGCCGAAGCTATGGGAATTCGAGAGAACAATCCTAGTCTTTGTATACAAAAGAAATTTGTTCTACCTTTGTCTCTCCCTTGCTTGCCTAGGTGAATTCTATTCAAAACCCTCCCACCCTTTCTTTTCATCCCTCCCCTTCGTACATTTATTATATTTATTTAAACTCTGATTATCGTTCCATTTGATTTGACCTAATTTATTTATTTATTGTCTATTGTCTACATATATGCAAATACTAACTTTGTTATTCTTATCACCTATATAAGCCTTATTAACAATATTTTGTTATTATTATAATCATCGCTATTAACTTCGTTCAAAACATTTACCACAATATTATTACTATTATTATTATTATCATTTTTATTATTATGATTACGATTATTATTTGATCCACTAAATCACCGTCATTGGTTAAAATTTTATATATATAAGTCTATGTAAATTAGAGTAAAGCCTGAAGAAGATCTAATTGAAAACAATATTGTTCGCTTATATGTCTTGTTCTAATATTATAAATGGGAATATTTAAAGATTCGATTAACAGCCAAAAGAAAACTAGAAGATGAAAATGGCTGATGATTAGAAACATTTTGTCTGCTAATGTAAGCATGTGGGGGGGTCGCTAATCCCCGGTTGTCCACACTGTGAAACTTGATCTCTTCTTGAAGTAATTGAAAGAGAAAAGTTACTAGCATCATTCAATGTCCGAGCCCAGCAAAACAACCGTGTTGAGGGTGGTCACATATTGCCTATTGGAAATGAATTTTAGACTTTTCTCAGCACGAATACCTAACCGCTGAGTACGGACTACCTCAGGGTGAGTCAGGATGTACAACCTTTGGGTTTGAGTTTTTCAATCAGTCTTGTCTAGATTGGGGAAACACAGTAACTGGCTTGTTATCACTCGAGAGAGACACCTTACTGCTAATACATTCCTATTCGCCAACATTACAACTGTGCCTCAGAAGATTTTGCACTATGATTACATAACTGTTTTCAGTCCAATCTCCATTCAAAAGAACTTTGCTGGAACAATAGGACATACAGGAACATTTGTTCCAGTAAGTAGGACTCGTCGGATCATCGTGGTGTTCTAGTTCGATCATAACGTAAAGGTACCAACTATAAGTTTAATCAATCATAAAAAAATTTGCATACTATTTCAATTCTTTATTACTTCATCATTTCAGGAAAGGAATGTATTCCATTCACTAGCTGAAGCTGGTAGTCAACTCTATTTTGCTTTGAAAGATCTTGTCAAAATTAATCATATGTATCAATTCAGTTTGAATAGTTTTCTGCATCTTTTTCAACGTGCTTTATCTATGCCATATGTAAGTATTTCCGATCCGTTTTTATTGTATATATATATATATATATATATATATATATTGAATTCAACGTTAGATGGAAGAAACACACTGCCACATAGACTGACAGCTCTTAGATAGTAACCAACGATGACTATCCAGTCTCTGAACCCTTCTTTTAGCCTAGGTCCAGGTGGTTTGCCTAGTGTTATTTTTAAAAAGTGTGCAGATATCCTGTGTTATCCTCTCATGGACGCATTTAATGAATCTTTTTCCATAAAGTGGACATTAAAATTGCACCTATACCTAAGTCATCTACTGGAATCTGTGTCAAGTTTAGACCTGTTGCTATAACCGCTCCTTTTCTAAAAACTATGGAAAAGTTACTCTTCAACCTTCACTTAAAGCCTTTATTGATTCTTAACAATTCGCCTGTAAACACAGTAGAAGTACTTTAGGTGCAGCTGCAGTCTTGTATTATAACATTGACTCCGACTTAGACAAGGGGGCTAAATTTGTTCGCTTCACCTTTCTAGATTACACATTTGCTTTCAACTCAGTACCTAGGGATATTTTGTTAAACAAGCTTGGTGAAACTCAAACTGGCTGTTGGGTTGTCAAATAGCTGTATTCTTATTTCTCAGGAAGAAAGCAGTACACTGTATGTCAAGGAAAGTCATCCACTTACTTCATTGCTTACTGGGGCTGGTGTCCCTCACGGCTCTGTTCTTTCTCCTTTTCTGTTTTCTTTCTTCTTGCATGACTTGCCTCAATCTGATGAAATGAACTCTGTTAATTATGCGGACGATCTAACTATTTCAATGTCTGTTAACTCCCAGCTAGACTGTACTAAGATGAATAGCTTTCTATCAGGAGTTAGCAAATAGTCTACGTCTAACGGTCTTAAACTAAATCCTTCCAAATGCCAGACTGTTAATTTCAGTTTCCGATGTAAAAGAAAGTCAAATGAAACTGTTGGTTCCTATGACCGTTGCAAAATTGATGATAATGGTATAGAAATCAAGCTTGAAGTTAAGTATCTTGGATTAATTCTTTCTTCTGACCTATCTTCGTCTTCCCATGTCTTAGCGATTTCTAAAAGAATATTTCGTCTGACGTTTTACATTAAGAAGTTGAGGCACTCAGGCGTAACTCAACCCCTCCTCTTACAGTTTGTCAACTCGTGCATCTTACCTATTCTTCTTTACTGTTCACCCTTATTCTATCCTGGATTTCTTAAAAAAGACTATATCATACTTCGTAGAACTCTGAAGACTCTCAGTAAGACGAGTGGTATCTCATTGGGCCATATCGTTGACATTGTCACTGATAGGCACTTGATTTCATGCAACAAATTTGCTAAAGGAATTTTGTCAGACTGTGAGCATCCAGCGCAGCACCCGCAGCTCCAACCTTGTGTCTCCTCAGGTAAAACAAGAAGTCTTTTCAGTAGACTTTATATACGTACGTCTAAGTATAACAATTCCACTATACCATATTTGGCACGTACTTTATGTGATGAAAATAGTGTCAGGGACGAACTAACTAACCTTCTTTGCACTATTAAATAAACCTTTTCCTCCACCCTTACAACATCAAACTTTATTGTTACTGTATTTCTTATATTTATAATCCTCTCAATTTTTAGTTTTTGTTTTTGTTTATTTCCTCATAAGTGTGGACATCATTTAAGTTGTGTGATAACTGTTAATTTTGTATTTCCCCTCACTATACTATATCAACAGAACGTTAGATTCAATAATCTATAACATGCTACAATTTCCAAACTGAATCGACAATAATGTTTATTATTATTATTATAATTCTGTTTTGCAAGAAGATGAGCCTAGAGACGTTAATGCTGTTCAGTCACAACCTCCCAACCTAACTAAGGCTATTTCAGTATGTGATTACGATTGTCAGGAGAAGATATAACTGGGTAGTTAGTGTGAAGATGTGTGAATGGTAATGTATAATTCATTTACATGACAGCTGAGCATTACTTACACTGATTTTAGTAAATGACCACGTAGTTCTTCAGTCATTAGACAGCTAGAATAGTTGATCGCAACCTACTGCTTTGAATCCTGGTGTGACAGTGATTTTCATTTCATCTTTAATCACCACCTGTAACAAAAGCAGAAATCATGAAGTTCATAAGGTTTACTAAAAACCAGAAAATCAATAGGACCAGAAGGAATCCCCCAAAAAAGAAGCTTTGAAAACGGACTTTGGAACTTCAATGGATATGCTCACGCTACTATTGTACAAGGTGGAGAAGCAGGGATTGGAAGAAAGGTTACCTTTTCAAACTTAAATCTAAGCAAGAACTGGCTTGGAATCATTCTCCTCTCCATCTCAGTAAAATATTAGGCGACAGCATCCTTGAAACACTAAAAGATTCATTGGATGGAGGACTGTACTCAGAATAGGATAGATTTAGGGAAAACAAATCATGCACTGATCGGATTGATACACAATACGTCATTATCGAATTTGAAAAGACTTTCAACAGGATAAACGTCGAAGTTATACAGAGATTTCTTCATCCCTAAAATCTTTATAAGCCTGATTGAACAGCGATACGATGATGTCAAATGCAAAGTAACTTACAAAGGAAATCTTCGTAAAGCCTTTGAAGTGAAGACAGGGCTAAGATAAGGCTGGGTATTGATCACTAATGATCTTCCTAAATGTAATGAACTTGCTGGACTGACAAAATACCCTAGGATTTCATAGATGGCTTGTGTTTACGATTTGGTGGCATTCAAGTGACATCACATGGTAGGCGGGTTCTGTATTGAAACGTAAATGGAAAATCACTAGTTTGGCGTCCGGAAGTGACATGAAGAAGATCACGTGAAGGGGAAATCAAGGCCCATAGGCAGCTGTGGAACTAGATAAAAATGACGACAGGATGATACACTAAACGGCCACAGTGAATAAAGTTTTAATTTAGAAAAGAAAGACAGTTCAGTTGCCGCTGAGCTCATTTATGCCCTCATTCACTATAGAAATTGTGTTAATCTCACATTTCTGTTAGTAGACGAAATTTTATTACAAATACAGAAGGGTTAGTTGGATATTTGTTTAACTATTCCATCTGTGGCACCGGTTAGGTATTCTGCTGTCAATGAAAATATAATCGCACTGCATAACAGTCCACTTCTACCGCACTATACACAAGGAAAAAGATGAGAATTTTCAGTACTAACGTCACGTCGGTCAGTGACATGGTTTGGGGATTTGGCACTTGGGTCACAAAAGTATTTCCAACAGGGTGGACATTTTCATCAACAGCTGTCTTCTATGGCTTGGTAGTGAAGATCGGAAAGAATAAACGACAAGAAACTCTGGAAATGAACCAGCCAACATCCTACTGTCTGACAAATATGCAGAAAGAAATGGGAATGAATTGGACATACGTTAAGGCGACCCTCAAGTGACGATAAACTCCAGGTTCTCAAGGGGAATCTGAATGAGTGACGTCGAGTTGGGTGTGAGTCTGCTCCTGACACGGAGAGAATCGTATTTGAAAGAAATGAAAGCTTACAGACAGTCACAGACCCAGCTAAAAAAATGACAGCAACGAACGGTATGAAGTAGAGTTAAACTGCTAAAACCCTACGTTTCATCTGGAACCCAAAGGAATAATATCAATATAGTAGTGATAATAATAAATCCCAATTTATTAAATCTTCAGCCTCACTTGCCTTGTATATTCATTCATATTGGAAATAATATCTTTTAAATGTAGTGTATTGTGTATATATAGTTGTTTATATTACCTTTTAATGTATTTTCTTCTTCTTTTCCCCACCTCCCATAGGATAAAGGACTTAATACTTCGGAACGTATTAAATCATTACAAAAACTTGTGGAATTATTAGTATATGAAAGTGTCTCACGAGCATTGTTCAAACCTGATCGTTTAATGTTTGCGCTACACATGGTCCATGCAATGCGTCCACAGTTATTCACAGAAGAGGTAATATTTGATATTCCGCCTTACTTTGATGTTTATTTGTATGATTAAAGATGTTTCAGTTTAATTGTAGACATATTGTGGTGTTAGGGAAGGGATTTGAAGAACTGTGACCCAAAAAAACGAAAGCATGAATTGGTATGGTATGAGTTTATAACCTTAAGTTATATGAATATGAGCGTAGGTTAGAGTTGGGTGGAAGTTAGCGTTTACTTTAAGACACCTACCAGGGTTAAATCTACACTTTAACTTCCTGAACACCGTTCGTTGTCAATAATAAGCTCCATGCATCCATCATATAACTGCATTATTACCCTCGCGAACTCTTATTGGCTGTTTCAAAGTTATTCGGAAGCTTATTTGCTTGGAACACCATTTGTTAACTTCTTGCACACGGTTCGGGGCCGATTCCCGACTGGTAAACTCCTAAACCACACCTGATTTTTTGCTAGTAGTAGGCTCTGGAAAGAGAGGAGGCTGGGCGTCACAGCTACTGAAACTTTAGGGCTCAAGCTTGAAACCCTTTACTCCACTCGGAACACAAAGGAATGAGAAAAAATTGAATTTCACAACTCTCATAGTTGACACCGATGACACAAACAATATGGATGGGTTACCTTAAAACTCTATCTGTTTCTAGAACAAAAGTATCCCCTTGGTATGACTGTAATGTATACAAAACAGCTGTGTTTCAAACAGTTGGAGCAACATGCCTAAGAGCAATGTTAATATTATTTACAAATAGCAGAAAAGTGTTGAGAATTGATTGGTAGATTGTCACGTTATCTATTTTAATGAACACATATACACCTTGATTAAGTACTTTGGGTGTTAGGTGATGATGGACACCGCTGGTCATGATCTCCCACCTGGACTTCAAGCAACTTCATCCTGTAGTCAGTCATCAGAAAGCATTAGACTAATTTTCAAGTGTCATGGGACATGGGTGTGCACTGATGAAGAGTCTTAAACGAGAGCGAAACAGTTTTGCAGTACTTTCTGATTTTCAGCAGTTCTCCAGCTGATGTATCAATTCGTGATCATATATGAAATCAATCAAGTCCCTGAGAACCAACACTTGAAAATATATCTAGTGATCACCAATAACTGACTATACGCTGAAGTTACCTGAAGTTCTAATGGGAATTCCTGGTCAGCGGAGTTCATCAAGTTGGGTATGAGGATGAATACTCGCCAATGACATTAGCTGGTTGTAGCAATGAAAATGCAAACTGACAGAGGTAGGAATTTATGGATTACTAGATTCTATCTCAGTGGCCAAATTGTAGATCACCACGCCTTAACATAACATAACATAACATAAGCTTTATTCCAAATCAGTACTTGTGATACAGAATGGAATTCTCAGCATTTTACTACAATATTGCATCCAGTTTTTTACATTAACAATAAATAAAGTTCTACATAGATTAAAGTTATCTCAACAACATATTAGTATGTCGGTAGCAAAGCCAAAATTAAAGTGTTTGAAGGTGTTAGAAAAGTAGATACTACTAGCATATTTACTGGCGTAAGCGATAGCAAAATGGTCGAGATATACAGAGTGTGAAAGAACGAACAAGAATGTTTTAAGTAGAGTTTGCAAGGAAGAGAGAAACGAAGCACCACATAACAAAAATAAAATACAGAATGAAGAGCGAGAAAACGTTGTACCTATAAATGATGTGAGTTGGAAAGACGAGATCCATTGGTTCTACTGACTATTTAATAAGTTAAAGGTTTCATGCCTGATGCATTCTTTATCGCACAGAACACGGGCTAGGTAGGGTATGGATGAGTTTTTGTACTTACTAGTGCGGGCATATAGTTTCCTATATAGGCTTCTTGTTTTCCCTGAAGAGATACATGGGGAGAGTTGTGAATGTAGAGGGTGTTGTGAGTCAGATAAAATGGATTTCGCCCATTTTTCACATGAGTCCATATGCCTGTCCACCAGAATATTAACTAGCTGGCTAAGTGGCAAACTGCTTACCCTGCTGACAACCTTTAACATCCTACGTAATAAGGTATAGTCTTTCTTCAATAGCCCAGGAAAGACTAAGGGGGAGCAATAGAGAATAATAGGCAGAATACGGGAGTTAACAAATTGTAGGAGTAAGGGTTGGGTTACACCAGAATGTCTTAACTTCTTGATGTAGAAGGTAAGACGGTATATTTTCTTGGAAATCGTCAAGATATGAGACGACCAGGAAAGATCAGAAGATAAAGTGACGCCTAGGTATTTAATTTCCGACTTGGTTTCTATTTCAGTGCCATCTATGTTGCACACCTCGTGAGTGCTAACCAGTTTGTTTAGGTCAGATTTATGCCTAAGGGTGAAATTAACTGTTTGGCATTTGGAGGGGTTTAAGGTTAGACCGTTTTCCTTGGACCATTGGCTAATTTCCGATAAGAAGCCATTTAGTTTAGAGCAGTCACTTTGACATTTGACAGGCAAAGATACAGTTAGGTCATCAGCATATTTGACAAAGTTAATGTCATTTGAAGACGGTAGGTCATGTAGGAAGAAAGAAAAGAGAAGTGGGGAGAGTACAGCACCTTGGGGGACACCAGCTTCTGTGAGCACAGCAGAGGAGGATTGGGCTTTGTATACGGTGTACTGCATTCTGTTTGAAAAGTAGGAATGCAACCAGTTAGTGACCCAGGACTCGGTTTGTGTCATGGAGAGCTTATTTAGCAAGAGACTTCTAGGTACAGAGTCGACCCATGGTTGGGTTGTGGGTGGGTATTGCTAATGAGTCGCAAACTAGGACGAAACAAAAGTTCAGTACTCCTTGGTTTTCGACGGTTCTATAATCACTGCCAGTTCTTGATCTAAATGAGCTAAGCTATTGATTGATATGAATATCTGTAAGATATACATACTAGTTCAACTTCAGATGAATCAAATACTCATATTCTCATTATTCCCTTGTGTTCTGAGTGTAAAATACGGCTTCAAAAACACATCTCCACTCTCTTCTATTCTCAGACGTCCTCTTCAGCTGGCTAGATCCCCAACTGACCATAATCTGTCATCTCTCTCCTCCCAACACACTATCTCCTCCATGTCACACTCCACTATCGCACCAACGACCCTCTCGTCGCTTCTCATTGAGATTCCACTGGTCTGCATTGGGCGCGATGTCACTCGACGACGTCCTCAACATATGGTCGATCCATCTCTACTCTTCTCCACATATTCATAGAGCGATCAGCTTTCGCTTGTTGGTTTGTCCACAGACAGAGTTTCTTGTTGCTAATTCTTTCTTGGCAGTCGGCCATTTAACCTTCAGTATGGAGCTAACCAGCGGTGTCAACTGTTGATAAAAGTTTGTAACTTCTTGGAAGTTCTTTTGATCACACGCAGTGCACGTTTCTGACCCGCATAGAAGCAGTGCCTGACTGAATTCCCATTTGTGTTGAACAGAATCCGAATAATTTTTTTTATGCTAGCTGGCTGAGTGAGTGACAGTAGAAGATTTCCAAATTGGTTTCACGTTGACGAAGGCGTGTCTCGCCTTTCCAATTCTCGCTGGCTGACTGGCTTTCACATCTGCATGCGTGCTGTCCGACTGTAGGTAATTGAAACTGTGCTTCCTCCCTAGCTGGATAAGTGAAGGTGAGAAGTAACTTCTGACAAATCTCTCCCATTGATGTTGATTGGTGCTGGTTGTTGCTGTTGCTGTTGCTGTTGGTGGTTGGTTAGTTATCTTCATCACCTCTACTTCTCTATAAGTTATCTACACACGAAATCCAGATCATCTAGATTCTTATCGGTTCAACGTATTCCTGTCTCTTGGGTCCCTACAGTCTGACAAACAATCCAATGCATCAAAACTCAGAATGTCATCGGTGATGGTAGTAGGTAGTCTTGTCTTGCTCCGGTATTCATTTCAAACGCCTCACTGAGTTTTCCGTTGGGGATCACCTGACACGTGGCACTGTCATATAGCTAGCTGGTGATTGAGGTTGATAAAGACTTGGACACTCACTGCACTCCGTAGTGTTGAAGTGGCTTCCGAATTGCATCGCGGTCAACGCTGTCGAAAGCCTTTTTGAAGTCTATGAATTTTAGGTGGAGTGAGGTTTGACTGCCATTCTGTGATGACGACGCGTAGACTTGCAATTCGATCAGCAAATATTCAAATGGTGTTAAGAAATTACCAGTTTTCTAGTGATTGATAACTATTCATCTTAACTGATCAGTAGTAGTACATAAATTGTACAGTTTGATGAGTTGTATATATATAGTCCATCCAAAGCAAAATTCTCTATCACTTTCGATCAACAAATCGAAATGAAATGTACTAATTAATTTCGAATTTACTCTATCTTGATCTAAATTAATCTCACTAAACTGATTAACAAAAGAGTGTGGGTGTTTTTTTTTTGAAAATAGAAATCTGTAAACTATTGAGATGGAAATTTTTAATGAATGACAAAAAGACTCATTCATTGATACTAGATGGTTGGAGGCAATCGGCAAGAAGTCCTGCTTGACCTAGGTTTTGTGCTAGTTGGCACTCACCAGACAGCAAGGCGTCTCTGCAACCTTGAAAGAACTCATTTCCTTTCTGAAATTCAAACCGGCGTTACCCATTGCTGCAGTTAGAGACATTACCTTGCTGACTGGTGAGTGCCAACTAGCACGAAACCTATATTTTTTTTTTTATTTTTTTTTTATTTTTGATTTACAGCTTGATTCCACACTGTATTTTTGGTACAAGTATGGAATTTTCAGCATGGATATCGGTAGCCCAAATTTTGCAGGCCGACCATAGATATCAGGTGTGCGTCGGTGCGGCCTCGAACCCCGGACCATGTGCATGGCCGGCGAGAGTCCTAACCACTGTGCCACCGACGCACAGGTAAGCCTTCCTGCCGATTACCTCCAACCATCTAATATCATTAAATCAATGCGCACCGTGATGGCAAGCCACCTATGGGCATGGTGGCCATATTGCAAACTTGACTGATAGAATTTAGTTCGCATCAAATAAAGGACTAGACACACACATTACATTAGCCACTGGCTGTTGTCCAGTCAAACTCATTCGTTATTTAGGCATAGGCTACATATTTCCCAATGAATGAAAATATAAAAGTATAGTGTTTTGTTTTTTTTACTAACGTTTTGCTATATACTCTTGCGGTAACTTAACTTTCACTTATTCAGTATGAAGCAATTTTTACGTTTCAGGTATGTGAACGAATAAGGATAACAAAGTGTGTGTAGATTGTTGGTTTTGATAAATGTATCAAACTATAAAAACAACATGTGCTTACATAATGAAGAGTCCATCCTTTTGGAAGTGAGGATGGATGTCCCGTCGATGACATTAGTTGGTGACTGTGCTAAAAATCACTAATCAGTAGAAGTTAGAATTCATGTGCTCGCATGGTCCTAGTGGCTGAATGGTCTGCCATCTTTCCTTTTAACCGGGAGGTCCTGGGTTCAAATCCCTTTGGCGGGTGCGTACTGACGATGATTTTCAAAGTAGGACGAAACAGCTGTCCAGTACTCGTTAGTTTTCAATGGTTCTCCAGCTGATAATAATCCATAATCTAACTTGAAACAAAAGAAATCCACACAAACTAATTCTTGAAGACTTCGGTTTTTTTCAAAATCAATTTTGTGGCCTAATTCTATGGTACGCAGAGCACCCATAGCCGACTGTTTCTCAAGCTTTTGTAGTTTTATTAGATTTCTCCTGGGTATTGGAATAGGAGCTCTACAGTGTCTATTTCACCTTGGAAACGTTGGAAAAACCACCTTATGTTGAATAACTGTGATAAAGTTACTGTATTTACAGACTGAGGGTTTGTAAATTCATGTTTAATATTACTATATGGTAAAGCTATTAGCAGCACTATTAAGTAGCTAAGCGTCAGCAAAAACAACAGTGTCGTTTGGTTTTTTCATTCATTGGGTAATAGAGAATCTTTTGTAGGGATTGGATTTTTTGCAAGTTTGACGGATGGACTGATATCACTTGGAGAACTACTGGGACCCAGCAGTGAGTACTGGAAAGCTGTTTCATCCTAGTTTGTGACTCATTGACAGTATCCACCCAACAAAGGGGTTCGAACCCAGGGCCTTCCGGTGGCACAGTGGTTAGGACTCTCGCCGACCATGCACATGGTCCGAGGTTTCGATCCCCTGCCGATGCACACCCGATATCTATGGTCGGCCTGCAAAATATGGGCTACCGATATCCATGCCGAAAATTCCATACTTGTACCAAAAATACACTGTGGAATCAAGCTGTAATCAAAAATAAAATAAATAAATGAAAATCTTTTATAATAATAATAATAATAAAACTCATTCATCACTATTTGTTTATATTTTCTAAATATTATCCTATTTCTCTTTTTATATCATCAAAGGAATGGCTATTCTTTATTGGTCTAAGTGTATCCGAATCCCACTCCGGTGGTGAACATGTACCTACATGGTTAGATAAAGAACGTGCTCAAAATATTATGAATCTCAAGGTATGTGGTTTTCAGTTGTTATGTTTTTCATAATTTATGAGAATTATACTCCACTAATATGTATATACACAAGACCCCACAACTGGGTGATATATCACTTCTTTCATGAATAATTCCCATTCAAACATTAGTAGACAGAAGACAAGTAGTTCAGCGAAGAGTCTCTTTTCGGCGAATTCATTTTCATAGCTGTACATTCGCAAATATATATGGTTATTTTGTGTGTGTGTGTGTATACATTAAATTTGTCAAACGAAAATACAATTAGTAAGTTCAGATGAATTGGATGTTGATAAGAGGATAGCAACAAAAGTGATGAGTTGTCAAAAACGGACAATTAACAAGTTTCTACAGCTGGGTACCAATCAGTCGGAAAAGAAACCTTATTAAATCCCTTGCCACTCACGTCAGACGCATCTGCAGCTCCGACACCATGGAAGAAGAACTAAACTTCCTGAGGGAAATCTTCATACAAAATGGCTACCCACCAAGATTCGTAGAGAAAAACATCAAACAGAAAAACCAAAAGCAAGAGACACCATCCGTGCCAAAAAAGATACTTTATATGAACCTAGACTTCAAAGGAGACCTACTTAGTGACGTCCTCAGGAGGAAAATTTCCACCTCTTTAGGAAGAACTTTCCTTACGGCAGCACTAAAAATAGTGTTCTCCAGTCGCCCGCTGATCTGCAGAAACCCAAAGGACAAGATTCCGCACATGACCACTTCTATGTGTATATATCAGTTCACCTGTTGCTGTGGAGCCAGGTACATCGGTCGTTCAACGCGCATCCTGTCAAAAAGGGTCAAAGAACACTATCCAGCGTGGCTACAGAAAGGAAATAATGGCCATATAAGGAGTGCAATAATCGAACATCTCGTCAATACTGGTCATTCCATCTCAACGAACGCCTCCTTCAAAGTAATCTACAAAGTGAAGAACAACCTTCTAAAGACAGTACGATTCCGTCTTCTTTGCATCGCAGAAGCCCTAGCCATCCAGTTGGAGGAACCAGAACTATGCATACAAAAGAAAATTATCCAACCACTTCTACTCGCATGGTAACTACTCCTTTGATTTGACCTAACTTTTCTTTGTTTGTTTGATTTGACCTTACTTCTGTTTGTATGCTTATTTTTCTAACTTAAAACCCTTGTGTAATTCTGTATATTATTTTGTTTCCATGTACACCCTCTGAGCACAACTCATTCATCAAACTATTCATGCCATTACGTAACTCTTATTTAACAATCATTTATGACAACTCATCACTTTTGTTACTATCCTCTTATATGAACATCCAATTCACCTGAACTTACTCCTGTTTAACAATCGTTTTTGACAACTCATCACTTTTGTTGCTATCCTCTTATCAACATCCAATTCATCTGAACTTACTAATTGTATTTTCGTTTGACAAATTTAATGTATACACACACACACACACACAAAATAACCATATATATTTGCGAATGTACAGCTATGAAAATGAATTCGCCGAAAAGAGACTCTTCGCTGAACTACTTGTCTTCTGTCTACTAATATATCACTTCGGCGAACTCTAATGTAGTGACCAAGATAGCAACGGTAGAGGGCAGATACCACAGTCACATGACCTTGAAACAGCCAATCATGTGCTTCTAGGTGAAAATTGGCATTTATTATATAAAAAAGGATGTTTACCGGATATATGTACAACGAAAATGGACTATATTAGGTTTATATCTCTAATATACTGCTAAAAGAGGTCTCAGATTTCCGTAGAAGTGTCTGTAGTAAATAAACCAGGATCTGTATGAGTACTAGTCATTAATTCTGACGAATGATTGACTTTATGATGATTATAATCTAATGATGATAGTTACATTGCTCAGCATTTCAGATGAATCTAGCCCATAATCAATCATCGTTGTGAGTTTAATCTCAACCTTAATCTTACCTTAATCTTAACCCTAAATCAGAGAGAAACTTGTAAAGAAGATTATGAAAAGCATTCGTTTGTAACGCCTAGCAATCTGATTGATGGGTTCCAGGTCATTTGACTGTGTTACTTATTCTTTACTCTTGCTAGGAAAGGAAACACTCAGAAACTGCAGAAGTACACAACCACCATCGAATGTAACAGTCATTTTTGCATAGTAAAGGTAAACAAACTGGCACGATTTCATGAATCTCTGTGATTATCTACAGATTCGAACCGATTACCTTCAAATTACTGGTTAAATGCTACTCAATAAGTAATCACAACTGAGTTCTGGTTCACTGACTAAATACTTTGCCAAATGTTGGTTTGTAGGGATTTTGATTGGTTACAGTAATGATGGACACTATAGACAAACCAGATACAGGAAGTTACTTGGGGTTCTAGTGAGTGGTCGTAACCAGCGGGTCTACTAAGTCAACCAAGAGTTACTGGCCCGTGACATTGACTGGTGGTTACGCCAAATATATATCATGAATTAACAGAAGTTGGAATTCATGGACCATTGGGTCGGGTCCCAGTAGCCTTATTGTCCACGAGATCGCCTTGTCTTGAGCTCGAACCTCAGCGGGTGTTTACTTCTGAGGAGTCCTGAGCCAGAGCGAAACAACTGTCCAGTACTTTCAGGTTTTTTAATGGTTCTCTAACCGATGTCACTTCGTGAACATTCGTGTAACTATTTTGCCTCTGTTTTCACCTTCAAAAATATCTGTTATTCATCTCAGTTTTTCTGGTATTTGACAGAGATCACTAATGAAACACCTTCATAGCTCACAGCAAACAAACTGCCTAAGTGTAGGTGAAAACCCCTTTTTGGAAAGTAACAGACTGATTGACTGAGTTTCAACTCAGAACTTTCCACAGAAGTTCAGCATTTCAAGTCGCCACACCTAACATACAACACAAAAAGGTTTAGAAAAGAGAGAAAAACGAAATTCAGAAGAGCTGTTATATGCTTTTGCACATCTTCCACCTTCAATGGTCATGTCTCATAGCAATAAAGAAAGACACAACTAACTGCTGCACGTTATTCGGGTGCCATGTCTACACAAAAGATGACGCACGTTGGTAACAACTGCACGAGCCTTTTGTATCCTTGCTAAGATATGGTCAACGGTCAATTAGTCAGTTAGACTTCCCAAGACCCTCTACCACTTCACATCCTACCTTTAAACTAGGAGTCCGTTCATATCATTCATGCAGCACCATCTTACATTTGTGACATGAGCGAAACGCTCACCAAACACTCAAAGATTTATACTCAAGGTGTTCAGAAGACTCAGCATTTTGTCAGTGTTTACACCTGCGAGGGCTATGTCATCCGTATACTCTAAGTTGACAAGACTATCCTGTGTTAACAAGTGAATCCTTAAATGGCACTGACCACATTTGAAGTTAATAAACATCAAGACCTGTACATAATTTCCAAGCTGTATTTCATTTGTAAGTAAGGATAACTTGATAACTCGATGGTATTATATAACTAAGCATTTGTAAATATAAACGTTAGACAGCATCAACAAACAATGCTTGAATTTTTAATTTATCTATCAAAACACAAACGTGGCACATTATAGGCACCAAGAAGTGCTCCACACAAAATCGCATAGTTTGTGCGAGATCTGGGATATTTCCCGGAAGCCCAGACTGAAGCAGGTGGTTATCTTAAGGAGTCATCCCACTGTAACAGAAGGGTGTTCAGGAAATCCATCCTGAACGATAGAATTAGAATATCACTACTTATTTGGAGGTTTCAACTAAACTTTTTATTGGTTATCATTTTCCCCTAGGCTGTACATCATTGCTCTGATGTTTACATATCATATGTTCACTCGATCCTTATTATTTGTCTTTTTTCCTGATTAATCTCTCATTTTAATGCTTCTCTTTGTGGTTGTGAGTACATTAATAATGTTGTTTTGCGATCTGATTTTGTTTGAGTGGATCAAGGTCCTCCTGAACTTCGACTTGAAAGAGTCGGTGTGTGATTCTCATGGCAAGAGTTTTTGACTCCACCTTGTCAGGAGTATTCTTCTTGATTCTAAGGTACTTCTTACAATTGAACTCTGGTTAACTAATTACCTGTCTTAAAGTACTTGTTTTCTAACTAGAAAATTATTTTGACTGTATAGCTGCGTAACGGCATTGTTGAGGTTATTTTGAATTTTTGTTGTTGTTAAGGTTATTGAAAAGAACTACTGATTTCAGAAACGAATAATCATCTCTTTGCTATCTCTGGAGTGTTTTGTGACTCTGTGTGTGTGTGTCTCAAGAAAGTCTTGTCAGTTAAACAGTAGAGTGTGCAGATCGTTTTCCCGCGTTCAGATCACAAAAAGTTGACTTTGGTCGTAACACTTACCAAGATACACAAAGCCGTGGAACAGTTTCAGGAACTACATTCCACAAGGGGATTCCAGTAACCGAAACAGGTTTATAAGCTATTCAACCCTTTCGAATTTTTGAGCCCATAAACGCCCTCTCCCTTTCACTTGTGTAAGGAACACGCCTACTGCATGAAAGCAGTGAATAGGCTTTACCTCGCAGAGGCCAGTGAACGCGACACCGCATGAGACCATTTCGAGGGAAAGATCCACATGTCTATCCACCCTGAGCCGTACTAGGTGTGGTTCACGTGGGCTCAGTGTATAATATCATGTCAGACTGAGTGTTGTGTTGCTCAATAAGAAATTTGTAGTACATCAAAAATATCTTATTCAAATAATTCCTTGTATAGGCCGCACTTCCAGATGTTTATAAAAATCTCTGCTTTGAAGATTCTAAATTTTGGACAGATTGGTTACATGCAAATAATGCTGAAATCAGATCGACTCCAAATACCAATTTACAGTTCAAATCATTGAAACCTTTTCATCTTAGTGTTCTTGCAATTCAAGCTCTTCGACCTGATCGTCTATATACTGCTTTATCACAATTCGCTAATCGATCTTTAGGTAAGTTGAAATTCAGTATGATAGTCAGTAGTATAATTTATCAACTGCAAATAATTTTGAAATGGTTTGCATCAGTTTACATTCGTGTTCGTTTTCACATATCGTATTCTCACTGTTTCAGTCTCCTGCTCTGTCTCTCTCTTCTTTGTCATCCCATTGGTTAAAGCTTCAATGGTGACCATTCCAGTGTAGGCGTCAAGTAATCATATCATTAACATTTGAAAAACTGTATTTAAAAAAATCACGTTTCTCTTATAATCTCTAAGTTATTTCACGAATGTTTAATGTCTGATATCACGCAAACTCGAAGATGTACAAGGAAAAATCAACCAATCAGCAGAAGATGCAGAGAAGACAGAGGTGTTGAAGATACCTAATCAATAACCATCATGTGCGTTGGTGGTTGACTGATAGGGGCTTGGCCAACCAAGTTAAGCAATCCTGGGTTCGATTCCTGGCCGACACACTCTTTTAACTCGTCTAGTTGACAGTAGACTGATAAAAAGGGGATTTGGGACATGAGACTAGCAACAACAACAACCCGTAAAACAATCCCACTGCCACTGAAATTTCAAAGCTCTAGCTTGAAGCCTGTTGTGTTCCACTGGGGAACTCAAAGAAATAAAATAATAAACGTACCACCATGAATGGGAGAAATCTAAAAGAGTTCACATCCTTCACTTATCAAGATATCGTTCTTTTAAATACAGTCGGTGCCGATCAGAATGTCAAAGCCAAACAGGATTGGAGAGGTAAGACAGACCTTCATTGAACTGGGATTGGTCTGGAAATCTACTAATGTTAAGTCAGTCAGTCCTTATATACGACGTCACTAACCAGAGTCTATCCTGCAGGTAACTTGAATCCCATCTATCGGACAATGTACTTTTTGGTGCAATCAAAAGTCGACAAAATGCCCTTCTCATCTTAACTCTAACTGTGTATACAAATTCACATGTATCTGTGGTAGGACTTACATTAGGAGAACAGAAAGAAGGACACACATATCTTTGATTTTCTGAACATGCACTGAAAAGCCTACATCTCAATGGGATGAATGGTTACAGGAGTGTGATTACCAGGCATCTCCTTGACTCAGGTGATGAGGTGGACATATCGAAATCCTTTGAAATTATCAACATATAAAATAGTCCAATTATCCTCAGGTTTACCAAAGCAGTCTCCATCAAACGCCTGAAACCCGATTTATGTGTGTGTTCAGAAAGAGGCGATTATCAGTCTTTTCTTGCCCGTCCTAGTAATTGGATATCTTTACTGTCTCTTTAGTCTGATTACGTAATCTTTGGCTCTAACCTCTCCCCTTTGATGCAGTGTAACTTTGCTTGTCTCTTTTTTCTATGATTTGAGTGGAACTCAGTACATTGTTACCCAATTTATTAATCACTCATCATTTTACGCACCTCTCGTTTTTATTACGTAACTCCTTTACCATAGTATGCATACATTTACTTTGTTTAAGCTTCAACTGTCTTTGTAAAAACTAAATAAGCATAATTTTCTGAGCCCTGTTCATTTACTCCAGAAGCTCCTGTCAACTGAAACCATGTAAAATTTTCAAGTTTATTAAAACTTTTCTGTACATGAACTTAATGATAATAACTTATTTAGGCTGTAAACAGCTGATGATAAGCCAACGAAATAACTGTGATGATACCACCTTATTCTGATTTAGGAAGTTAGCGCTTACGTCATGAAATCACTTCCAACAAGCTTCAGGCTTTCACCAACAGCTTGTTTTTTTTCGATACTGAAGATTAGGCAGATGGTTTAAAACGATAAACAGCAATAAACTATGGAAATGTACCAAACAACAGCCTGATACCCAACAAATATGTTGAAAAAAACGTAGGTGAATTGAGTGGCGTCACACACCAGACAGGACCTCGAGTGAAAACCGAAATGGGGAAGAGGAGTCGGACGTGGGTCTGAGGGTGACGTTGAAGAGATCGTGTGAGGAGGAAGCGAGAGCTTGTGTGCAATTGTGGAGCCGGTCAAAAGAGACTTCAAAGAAGAAGTGAAATGGAGATATACTAATGGAGTTTTCTCTATGTTTCACTCAAGACTCAAGGGAATGATAATATCTTTGTAAGAGAATAAAGTATTTCTTCCACTTTCGTCAGAGTTTGAGAAAAATTTATTCAGAGTTGAATGCGGACAAAGTCAAGAAAACAAGATTATTGCGGGAAAATTAAATATTCACTGAGACAAAGTATGATACAATTGAACACGATTAAAAATCTTGCATCGATTTCTCTGTTCAAAACTCTAACATCATCTACCCGGTAATAGGCATGCTTTGTTGGTTGGAGTTTTGTTTATTAGGATCTTCTTGACCTTCTCTCGTTTTTCCATCGGAGACATTTCTTCAATAGTTGGTTTGTAAGGATTAGATTTGTTTCTACGAGTTGATCACGGGTTGATATCAGTTAGAGAAACATTGAAAACTAGCACGGAATACTGAAGTCCTAGTGAGAAGTCGTGATCAGTAAGGTCCATCCAGTCAAGTGAGAGGATGGAGTTCCCACCGATGATATGGGTTGGTAGCCGTGCTAAATCACGAATTGGTAGAAGTTAGAATTCATGTGCCGGCCATTTGGGAGTCGGATCCCAGTGGCTGAATGGGATACGACTTTGCCTTGTAGCTGGGAGGTCCTGGGTTCGAACCCTAGTGGGGTGGGTGCGTACTGCCGATGATTCCCAAAACTAGGGGACATCCCTATTGATGCATTAAATCACCATGAATTATGTGAAGACGTTATATCATATGCTACTTATATATCTAAAAGTAGTACATTGTAAGGACACCGAAAAGCATTCGAACTTTAAATGAAACGTAGATTTTCATTGAACCTCGCAGTTCTAAACTAAAAGAATATCCATTAATGCATAGATATAGCCTCTCAAAAAAAAGATTTTAACGCTGAACACTGAATTCCTCCGGAAGTTATCCTCAAGACGTCTGAAGAGAATTTTTCCTACAAGTAATATATTTGATTTTCAAGTGTAGGATTTTAGTTATGAAGTGTTGTCTCACAGGGATTAAACTAATTTCAAGTTGGATCATGGATTGACTTCAGTAAGAGGGGTACTGGAAACCAAGGACTACCAAACACCTGTTTCATCCTTGTTTGAGACCCTTTATCATGAACCTACCAGGAGTGGAACCCACGACCTTCAGGTTAGTAGGTAAGCTCATTGGCTAATCAACCACTAAGACAGAACTCGGCAACCAGTGGATTCTAATTGATATAAACTTGCAACATATAGCACAGCCACCAACCACTATCTTTGTCAAGTATTTATCTTCACCCCCAACTTGGTAGACCCTGATGATCACAGCCTTCATCTTACAGTCAGTTGCTAGTGAGCACTAGATTAACTTTGATGTCTTGGTTTGCATGGATTTGACAGAGTTTAAGTTTGCTGCGGAGTGCCAAACAAGCTGATCAGTACTTTCTAGTTTTCTATGGTTATCTGACTGAACTTAATTCATGATCAGACTTGTGATATATGTGAATCTTAGTTTTTATCGAAAAAGCCCTATTGGTCACTCAGGTGAAGGATACGCTTAGGTACTTTGTCGTGACGTGTATGTGTATAACTTTTGATTCTGTCCAGCAGAAATGAATACATCGGTTGTAAAATCCATCCATTGCCTAATAAACACTGAATGATTTCAAATAATCTGTTTTTCCCCATTCCTTTGCTCTTCGAGTGGAATACTTGGCTTCAAGTTTGAGGTTTGAAGTTTAAATAATTGTTATGTTAGAGTTCATAGCCCCACACTAAAGCTTCTTTCTTTGTTAGGCGACGGAGGTTTAGGAATGAATTGGCTGAGAATCGAACTAGGACCATGTGGATTATTGGAGAATATTCCCTCACTGAACCACCGACATATCCATTGACTGGGTAATTAATTATACACTGGTTCGCCGGACAGCAGAGACGTCTCCCCCAGTGGACTATGAAACAAAGCTTGCATTTGAACAAAGAAAGAAGAAACATTGGCTCAGAATAATCTGAATCCATTTTTCTCGTTGATTCTCATAATCGGCGTACAACCTTCGTCCATTAGCAAGCATATTGTCAGAGCGTCATAGTAAAATAAGGCGTTGCGATTTACAGGGTGTCTAAATTGTTACGATATATATATATATCTTGTTAGAGAGAAGTTCCTTGAAAAAAATTAATTGACAGTTGTGTTGTTGGGGTTGTAACAAAAGACAATTAGTAATAGTTACGTAATTAGATAAAAGAAGATCAAAATTTTGGTGCACATCTGTCAACACTCTGATCGTTTTCCTCTACCGAAACTGGAATTTAAGCAGCTTCTCGTGTTATGTACTGATGATATACAATTCCAGTTCTTTTAATGTGACTGCTCCCGCAGACACATGTCAATTCGTATACACGGTTAGAGCAGAGACGAGGGGCTACGTCGGATTCTGCGAACATGTACCAAGGAGCCTTCGGTTAAAGGGACCAAATTGTTTAAGCTCTTCAATCATCAAACACCTGATTGACACAGGACACCAAGTAGATGTGTTAGAATCATTCAAAGTAATTAACGGACAAAGTACCTCAAGTCTTCTCAGATTTACTGAAGCTATAGCAATAAAACGATTGAAGCCTTACTTACGTGTCCGAAAAGAATCCGTTGTTGGACTTCAATTACCCTGGTGACTCACTCCTTAGTTACTCTTTGTTTTCTAATTTTGTTAACTTACCTTTACACTCCCCCCCCCGCTTTATTTTTCGCTTGACTCTCTTAAGAGAAAATTTTTCTTGATCCTCTGAGTTCTGCTCATAGTATTGCATCATAAACTTCTCATGTGCACCGCTATTTTAAAATTTTGATCTGTTATCTAATTACGTAACTATTACTAATTGTCTTTTGTTACCACCCCAACAACACAACTCTCAATTAATTTTTTTCAAGGAACTTCTCTCTAACAAGATATATATATATATATGTCGTAACAATTTAGACACCCTGTAAATCGCAACGCCTTATTTTACTATGACGCTCTGACAATATGCTTGCTAATGGACGAAGGTTGTACGCCGATTATGAGAATCAACGAGAAAAATGGATCCAGATTATTCTGAGCCAATGTTTCTTCTTTGTTCACATTTATAAAAGGGAATCATTGTATGAATAACTTGCATTGTTGAAATAATAACTGAGTTCATTAGACTGAGTAGTGCTATATTTTTTTATAAATCTGGTTAATAAGAATATCATGGTTAAAGATGATCTCTAACGATGATTGTAAGACTTTCGCTGTGTAGAATATCTTGAGCATACTACTTTGTTTAACTTACTAACATCACTTCTCTATTTTCCCTCCCTTCCACCATAGACTTACCTCAATTAAGTCCAACAACTTTAAATTTACACAGATTATTTGAAAGTGAAACAAGATCAACAGAACCAATATTAATATTAATCAGTCAAGGAGCAGATCCATCTCAAGAACTGGCAGAAGCAGCCACATTACACTTTTCACGTAAATTAGGCCATAAACATTCATCGTCTATTTCAACACTGTCAACATCAAATTATCATCAAATTGCTATGGGACAAGGTCAAACTGAATTAGCTCTCAATGAATTACGTAAAGCAGTCAAATCTGGTGATTGGTTATGCTTAAAAAATCTTCATCTTGTCATCCATTGGTTACCGGTATTAGAGAAAGAAATCAATAATCTGTTATTTAATGCTAATCGAAAGTGTATGAAATCGGATGAGAAAACAGAAAACCGCATTGATGATACTGAACAATATGTTCATGAAGATTTTAGATTATGGTTAACCGCTGAACCACGTACAAACTTTCCGTCGACATTGTTAGAAGGTTGTCTTAAAATTGCTTATGAAGTAAGAAAAAAAATGTTCGTTTTATTGTTTATTTGTAAATTATTTTTATTGTAATAATAATAATAATAATAATAATAATCACTTTATTCCACAACAATAACAATTTACAGCATGGAATTTTCAGCGTTTCTTTTACATATTGCAATGGTTTAGCTCTGTTTATAATTATATAAATATATAAAATGTTAAAATATTGATAGTTAATAGGAAAAAATAATAAAAAAAATAAAAATAAAAAAAACCCAACAAAATCATACCATTTCTAGGTCATAGTGAATAATAAATAAATAATATAACAAATAACACTTGCATTAATATGCATCATTTCATTTTATAGTTTAGTTATTGATTCAAAAGTTGTAAAAGTTCTTTTCTGATATTTGTCTCTTCACACAATACTCGTGCCAAATATGGAACGGTCGAATTTTTATATTTTGTAGTACGAGCATAAATGTTTATAAAATTTCTTCTGGTCTTACCCGAAGAGATACAAGGAAACAATTGTGAATAAAGAGGATGTTCACTATCAGATAAGATAACTTTAGCTAAGTGTTTACAAGAATTCATATGCCTATTGACAACAGTGTCATTTAGTTCAGTCAAAGGGATAGCACTGACCCTACTTACAGCCCTCAATGTTCTTCGTAGTATTATATGATCTTTCTTGAGTAGCCCAGGGAAGAATAATGGAGAACAATAAAGAATGATGGGCAAAACACATGAATTAATAAATTGTATGATAAGAGATTGAGTTATACCTGAGTGTCTCAACTTCTTTATGTAATAAGTCAGACGGAAAACTTTCTTAGAAACTATAAGAATATGAGACGACCAGCAAAGATTTGACGAGAAACTAATGCCAAGATAAGAAACACTTGACTTACTCTCAATCATGGTACCATCAATATTACAACAATCATGAGATTGAATCAATCCATGCATATCTTTTTCACTTCTCAAGCTGAAATCAACAGTGTTACATTTAGTTGGATTTAGTTTAAGACCATTTGAGCGAGACCAATCCTTAACTTCAGCTAGGAAGCCATTCATATAGGAACAATCCGATGTGGCAACTACAGGGACAGAAACGGTCAGGTCATCAGCATACTTAATGAAGTTAACTTTGGGTGAGTTCGGAAGGTCATGCAGAAAGAAAGAGAAAAGAAATGGAGAAAGTACTGCACCTTGAGGCACACCACTTTCAGTTAGCTGGGAAGTGGAGCGCTTTCCAGCCAAAACAGTATGCTGTTTCCTATCCTTAAAATAAGAAGACAGCCATCTAGTTGCCCAGGACTCTGTTTGAGCTGAAATCATCTTTCCTAATAAAAGTGTCCTAGGAACAGAGTCGAAAGCTGCAGTATAGTCTAAAAAAGCTGTTCGAACGAACTTAGCACCCTTATCAAGGCAGGAAACAATATTGTGGTGTAGTACAATGGCTGCATCTAATGTACTTCTTCCACACTTATAAGCAAACTGCTTAGGGTCACTAAAAGCTTTTAAAGAAGGTTTAAGAATATTCAAAAGAAGTTTCTCCATAGTTTTCAAAAAAGGAGATGTTATAGCGACTGGTCTAAACTTTATACCTGCTCCAGAAGATGATTTCTGTACAGGTACAACCTTGATTTCTTTCCAGTCAGCAGGTACCGTTTCCCTCTTAAATGATGCGTTAAAGATTTGAGTAAGAGGATGACACAAGATGTCTGCACACTTTTGGAGAAGAATGCTTGGTACACCATCTGGACCAAGGCTGTGTGTTGGATTTAATGACTTCAAACATAATAGTACATCCTTTTCTTCAAAACCCTGAAAATGACCATTTTCTTGACTAGGTACATCAGGTACAACCATATTAATTTGTTTCTTGATAAATGATTTGTTTAATATGGTTTGCAGACGAATCTTTACTATGACTGACTGTCTAACATGGGTGTGTACCTCTGAAGAGTCCTAAACAAAGACGAAACAAGTGTCCAGTAACCCCCTTCAGGTTTTCAATGGTTCTCTGGACAAACTCTTGAGAACCAAAGGGGAGTGTACAGTTGATTCATCTTTGTTTATGAGTATATCAAGGATTCAGCTGAGGGTCCTCCAGTTCCAAGAAGATGCAGTTGATTATTCAATTGCTGAGTAAGAATCTAGTGACTTGTGCATTCTAACCGTATAAAGAGGGGACATCTGAGACCCCAAGTAGGATTCTTAATAAAGCAGGAATTCTGATGGCATTCAAACCTACAAACTGACCCAGGTAAGACAAGCTCTGTAGGCTAAAAGACCCGGTGGACCCAATTAAACAAAATTATATAATTTGCAAAATACCCTGCAATGACTGTGAGTTAAGTCAACTATATAGGTGAAACTAGTAGATCGGGGGTAATCAGATTGTCGGAACATAAGAATTTGGCAAAGGTAAGAATGATTAATCCCGAGAAGATAAGTAATTTAGAAAAAAGCTAAGCGATTGCACTTCACGCATTCACACAAAATCACACAATAGGGTGGGAGAGGGTTAAAATTCTATGAAGTAATATAGGTAGGTGGAGAGAGAGAGAGAGATTGATCAATGAATCCTGGTTCATCGAGTCTACACCCAACATATGCAATAGAAATGACTCAAAGGAAATACCAGAGATATGCATGGAAGATATTATTACCACCAGTCAAATCAGAGGAGGATAATAAATTATCTCAAAATTCTATTTCAATCCACATACATCATAACATTCTAACAAGGTACTTATTATGCCCATAAAAAACACTCGTCTTATTTCCCATCTGATTGTATTTGATCAATAACACTCATATCATTATTATTTCTGCATGTACGTTATCCTATATCGATTTTTATTCAAATATCTAATCAATTCCACACATGTATATAAATGAAAGAAAAAGTTGTGTGAGTGACTTGATATTGATTATGAGGGGTAATGGTTTGTGCTCGAAACGTGGTCATCAGTTAATATTACTGTATAACAACACGATGCGATTTATCGAAATAAAATCTTATCCATAATGTAGTTACACTCTACCACAGTGCCCAAGTTTTATACTTATATCAATAATACATTCTAACCTCTATCACTTGGCATTGTATGGCGTTATCACCACGAATTATATTGTTCCGTACAGTTGTCATTACAAAGTATCCCCTAATGGGTTTTTTCCGGAAAGTAAATAGTTCTGTTTCTAATGCCGAAAATTTCGTGAATAAATCGACAGTAAATGCGTGAAGGATGCATCTGTGAATCATTCTGATTATCAGTTATCTCAGTGTGGCTAGATTGTTACTGTATTTTTTTTTCACAAATTTTGATAGATCATATTTAATCTTTTGCAGGCACCACCAGGATTAAAGCACAACTTACGCAGAACTTATGAAAGTTGGTCGGGGAATTATATATCTCAAGGGAGTTCAAAAACTCGTGCAAGTCTTCTCGCTTGTTTAGCTTGGTTTCATGCAATTGTACAAGAAAGACGAACGTATATTCCTCAAGTGGGTGTTTCTTCTTCTTCTTTTCTTTTGGGGCCTTCTTTTTATTGACGAGTTAATGTTAAAGATGACTGCCCCTCTTGTTGCATAATCATGATAGCTGCTTTTTTTGTATTCTTCTTCACACAGTTCTTTGGGTTCTTTAAAAATAAGGATGAATTTAACATATTACATGGCACTGGTAATGCATTAACAAAAATGTTGCAGAGACCACTGATATTAAGCGATTAAAAATGCCCATTAAATTTTTTTTTTTCAAAAGAATGGTTACTGAACAAAGAATATTCTTTACGGTAACCTGCTTTTCATCAGGTTCTACAGTTATATATCCATCCGTAATAGTGAATGAATTAGTGGTATTAACAACATTAATGTTGTTCAAATAACATCGAATCAGTAATAACAATAATAATAATAATAATATTAATGGATTACAGTTCAATAGCATCAGTATAAAAAACTGCACACTGAATATCAGAAAAATTATCAAACATAATAGTACAAATTCATGAATTTATAGTCTTTACTGAAGACCAAAGCAGTAGTAATGACTAAACTTGTTTCTTCTGAACACAAAGCACTAATTGTTCCAGGCGAATCGTGATAGCCTCAGCTGTTTGGTGTAATAATAATAATAATAATCTACTTTATTCCAAAAACAGTACGCATGTGGTGAGAGCAGCCTGCTAGCCAATTGGTTGACATTAATCTACGTCAATGTCTAAGGTCACTAATACGGGCAGTGAGAAAATATGAACAAGGCTGTTTCAACAACCAATCACAGCAAACTTAAACGTGGGCAAATATGATTCACAGATAGATGGCTCCACTTTCCGAGGAACTCGAAAACAACCAATCAGAAGACTGCGTTTGTCTACTTGACTAAGCTATAGTAATGTTTGTGAAATTTATATAAATACGTGTTGATTTCCGTGATAAAACGATCTGTTGCCTGACCCTTGTCCTCTGTTGTTACACGCATAATACAGAATGGAATTCGCAGCATTTGTCACAATATTGCATCTGATTTACTCAAAATATAAGTAAATTAAAGTAAAATTAACCAGAGGGATTTCTGCACATTTACAGTTTAAAGTTAAAAATACTTGAAGTACAAAATGAGAATAATAAATATAATAATAATAGTAACAGTGGGTTTGTCTCAGACAGTATTGTCGATTCAGTTTGAAAATTTTGCCATGTTATAGAGTATTGAGTCTAATGTTCTGTTGATATAGCAGCATTGTGAGGGGAAGGACAAAAAATAACAATTATCACACAGCTTAAATGATGTTTACACCTATGAAGAAATATACATAAAAACTGAGAGGATTGTAAATATAAACAGAACAATAACAATAAAGCTTGGTGGAATAGGAGTGGAGAAAATGGTTAATTTGCTAGTGCAAAGAAGGTTAGTTAGTTCGTCCCTGACACTATTTTCATCACATAAAGTACGTGCCAAATATGGTATAGTGGAATTGTTATACTTAGACGTACGTGCATAAAGTCTACTGAAAAGACTTCTTGTTTTACCTGAGGAGACACAAGGTTAGGGCTGCGAGTATGGTGGATGCTCACAGTCTGACAAAATTCCTTTAGCAAATTTGTTGCATGAAATCAAATGCCTATCAATGATGATGTTAACGATATGGCCCAATGAGATACCGCTCTCTCTATTAACAGTCTTCAGAGTATGAGGTACTTGGATGTCTTTGGCAATTTATTTAGTACCCAATGGATGATAGAGAAAGATTCTTCAATTCTGGTTTTGTAGCCGGTTCGAACCAGGTATTCTAATATCGAGTTGTTGATGCTTCCAACTACATCTTTATTTAACCACATAGGTGGATGTTCCCAGGGGAGCACGGAAAATTAAGTTCCTAGAGCAATGGCCAATATAACTCGCTCCACCACAAGCGCAATTGAATTGGTAGGTACAATCAGAAGTGGCTAGTCTAGGTACACATTGTCTACGTATGCAGCATATTCCACAATTTTACTTTGTTATTCTTAGAAAATTAAAATGAACTGAAATGTCATGGTTGATGTCAAAACCTGGGAGTCAGTCCATGAAGTCTTTGACACTCGGTTTGGACCAGCCACTTAGGGAGATCTAGACTACCTTGTTTCAGTCCTAGAGATACTAAAATCCAATAGCTGGAGATTATTGATGATATGGTTCAAAATCGTTTTCAATAACGCAGATACATTCACTCTTTATGAACTCATAGATTCTTTAAAATACTTTAATGCTCTCTCATTTTACTATTCTTTCTCCAGTACATTTTTCTGTGCATGATAGTTCTTACTCTCTTTTCTCTAATTTTGGGTGCTACATAGAGTATGACAACTTGTACGAATATTGTGTCAAAACTCAGTCAGTCAGTCGAGTATTCTTGCCAAAAAAAAGTATTTTATTTGGAAAGTCTGACACTTCTTAAAATATGTTTTCCAAAAAAGATACTGTTTTTCACCTAAATCAGACTGTTTTACTCTGATTGATGGCTCCAGTGTCATTGGATCAATCGTTCGCCTGGACCACTATCAGTTAACTTATTTTGGAGTTATATGGACTTTATTTCACAATATATAACGTGTATTTTTGAACTACTTATTCGCCCATCAGTACCAACCCATCAGTATATTATTATTCCTTTGGGTTCTGAGTGGCACATGGGGCTTCAACAACACATTTCCACTTCCTTCTATGCTTTGCTATCCTCTTTAGCCTACTCCACGACTGCCCATAATCTCTCGTCTCCCCGCCCCAAAACACACGGTCTTCTCCACGTCAGCCTCACATTGACCATCGATTCGTCACTTCTCATTTGGATTCGGCTTGAGCGATGGACTGTATTGTGCGCGATGTTATTCGGCAGCCTCCACAACGCACGCCTGATCCAACTCCGTTTTCTCGTACATATTTGTTGAGCAATCGGCTCTCGCCTGTTGGTTTTTGCCAGCCAGAATTTCTTGTTACTAATTCTTTCTAGCCATCCGACCAACCAGCCGGCCATTTGATCTACACTGTGGAGCCGGTCAGCCAACAAAGGTGGCAGCTAGTGATAAAAGTCTGCAATGGATTGTTGGAAATGCTTTTCGTAAAACACGCGCAGTGCAAGTTTCTGACTTATATAGAAGCAGTGACTACACTGACTGACTTCACACTTGTGTTGAATAGAATCCGAATCTTGCTGGTTATGCTGGCTGGTCGACTGAGTGAGTGATAGCAGAAGATTTCCCGGGTAGTTCAAGGTTGATGAAGGAGTATCTTGTCTTTCCGATTCTCTCTGGTTGGCTGGCCAGCTTTCACATTTTCATCCGTGCTGCCTGTGGTTGAAACTGTGCTTGCTTCCTAGCTGGATAAGTGAATGCAGTAAGTAACCTTTGTGAAATCTCTCCGGTTGATGTTGATTGGTGCTGATCGTTGTTGTTGTTGCTGTTACTGTTGGTGATGGTTGGTTAGTTATCTTCATCACCTCCGTCCTCTTTATGCTCACATGGAGTCCTGTCTTCTTTGGTTGATTCTTCAGCTGATTTGTTCGTTTTCGCCAAATTTGTAACATCAAAACATGAATCGTCTATACGTGAAATCCAGATCTTCTAAAGTCTTCTTGTAGGTTCAACTTATTCCTGTCTTCTCGCCTTCCACTGCACACTCTGACGCATAATCCAGTCCACTACAATTAGGAATATCATCATGATTTGGGATATTTTGAAAATGACTTTGATTTGATAACTGACTGACTGACTAAGTTTCAATACAAAACTTTGTACAGAATTGTGGAAGTTGACATTATCATTCATAGGTAGATAAACGAGACATAAAGAGGGATTCAAAAGTACTATAATAAAAAGAAACGTGACAGAGAAAGAGTAGTAACATGGAAAAACATCAGGATTTAATAGTTATGGAAGATTATAAGGAATGAATGCATTCATGTCATTCAGAACAATTTTAGGTCATAACTCTAATATTTTAAAGTTATTAGTTAATGGAATTTTGAAGAACCCAACTATGCAACTACACCTCCGTACACACTGGCTGAAACTATCTGTTAAAAGCTTGTTGAACGGATTCCATGTTTTAGTTGGACCTGTCTGTCTGTCTGTTTTCAACGTAGAACTTTGCACAAATGTGCGGAAGTTCAAGTCGCCACACTCCGTGTAACACGCGAAGCAACAGAAGAAAGTACAAGAAAAGCATAATAGAAACAGTGAGCAGAGGTTTGAGACAAACGAAGAGTAATAACGAAGAACAAAACAGTTTCATTGGAGATCATAATTCACAAGGAGTGGATGCATCTGCGCCATTGAGAACGATTTTGAGCCATGTCACGAATTGTTTCCAACCATAGATTTTTACCGTCCCGAGGAACCCAGCCTGGAAGTCTACACCTTCCTACGTGGCTGGCTTAGACCAACTGTTGTGGATTTCATTGACTGGTGCCAAGTTTTTGTTTGACCGCCGCTGGCTAGCTCATTTCCAGCCTGACCCTATATCCGCTAACATTGCTCGTCGAGGAAGGCGATGGCTTGGCATACGTAACACATGTCCTAACCATCTCGGTCTATGTAACTTCACAGCCTCGTCGATTGATTTCCCCTGTTTACCTAGAACTCTACGCCTAACCTCAATATTGCTCACCTTATTATGCCACTTTACACGGGAAATAGGGCGCAGGCACCTATGATCGAAGACAGCTAGTCTTTTGATGTCTTCCACTCTCAGTGGCCAGGTCTCACAACCATAAAGGAGGACGTAGCGGACTGATGAGCAGTACACCCGCCCTTTGGTCGATAGTTGGACCTAATCCTATGTCAGCTAAAAAATTCCCGTCAAGGGAAGCAACAGCTTGATACACTTAACGTATGTCCTAGCCATCACAACTGATTCACCTTCACACTCACATCGATTGACTTACCCTTCTTATATAACACTCTGTGGCTAACATCAATAATACTGTCTAAAGTATACCACCAAACACGGGAGACAGAACGCAAACATCTATGGTCAATGACAGCTAATGTTTTCATGTCTTCAACTATCAGTGGCTGTCTCATAACCACAAAGGAGGATAGAGTTTTGATTCGATATTTCGATAACACATTGTACGTGTATTAAATGGTTGGAGGCAAACTTCAGGAAGCCCCCCCCCACCACCTAGGCATCGTGCTAGTTGGCACTCACCAGACAGCAGGACATCCCTACAGCCTCGAAGGAATTAATGTCCCTTCTGAGATCCGAACCCGTGACACACTCAGTTCTGCAGTCAGAAACGTTACCACTGATCTATTTTTTTTTGATTACAGCTTGACTCCACACCGTATTTTCGGTAAAGGTATGGAATTTTCAGCATGGATATCGGTAGCCCAAATTTTGCCGGTCGACCATAGATATCGGGTGTGCGTTGGCAGAGGATCGAACCCCGGACTATGTGCATGGTCGGTGAGAGTCCTAACCACTTTGCCACCGACGCACAAGTTACACTGGTTACTAACCAGCGTCCATTCAAAGTACACTGTACGTGTTAATAATAATAGCGTATATGAATTTGTAAGGCGCGCTTTTGATATTGTTGTGTTCTCTAAGCTGTATAGTTTGCTTAATTGCTAAACTAAAATATCCAGAAGGATAATGAAAGCTTTACAATTAAATCATTATAAGAAAAAGACGTAAACAGCGAAGAAAATTCTCTTTTCGACGAGTCATTTTCATAAACTGCTGTACAATCGTAATAACGAATTTATATGACCAATCAGATACTGGTAAACTTTGTATGTATTACATAATGTATGGTGTAGTATAGAGCGGGTGACTAAATGGAAGTTGGAAAAGGGGGCAGAAGTTGGGATGACGTAATAAGTGTGAAAAATTGGCGAATCAATATCATTGTGTCGAATGAACAGGAATTAGTGGAAAGACGATAAAGTGTTTTTATATAAAATCTGTATGAAAACGCAATGTTACTGATAAACAGTAGTACAGTGATGATAAAATAGGGATGATGAGAATAATGATAACAATAATAGTAAACTTACATAATAAAAAGAAGAAAAATTATAGTGAGCACGTTACTATGGCCACAGTAGGGTGAGGGAATGTATCCGGTGCTTTTGAATGCAGAGGTCTGAGTTCAGATCCCGAATAACCAAATGATTCAGCTATGTATAGATGGCATATTCGAAGTTCTTTTGTGCGATATTGAGGGACTCTATGTAGCACTGTGAAGCATTGGTCATCAAGCTCACATGAAGTAGAAAACTGCATTATTTCAAACATAAATTCATTAAAAGTTAATTGGAGGATGGTGGCTAGCAGTGGAGTCCACCAGGATAACGCACATTTCGTCCTATTCAGGACTCGCCGGCTGGATTTACCTGGATTCCGCAGTGAGTGATGATGTCCCCACCGAAGCTCGAACCCAGTAACCATAGTTTCAAACGTCAAAGCGTTATCCAGACCGCTTTGGCCACAAGAGCTACCTCTTGTGCAACGGATCATATTAATTATTTAATTCAATTTTAGATTACTCACTGTGGAAAGCAGGTACGTCCAGCCGACGAGTCCCGAATAGGACGAAATGCGCGTTATCCTGGATTCCACTGCTAGTCACCATCCACCAGTTAACTTCTAATTACATGCCTAGACATCGTCGAAGCATCTGCACAAGAAGTCGACATGTCAGCCTGAGACTGAGCACTTCGGTCCAATCAATCTACGGGAAAATCTAAAATTGAATTGAATAAATTCATTAAATTTTTAATATTTATATGCCTTTACTTCTTCTTCTGCTGCTTCTTTCAGGGATGGACAAAGTTTTATGAATTTACATTTAGTGATTTACGTGCCGGTGCAGAGATTATCGATCGTTTATTGTTAAGTGATCATGGCAAGAGTATGAGAACAGTTAAAGATATTTGGTCATGGATATATGGTTTATTTGGTGAATCAATTTATGGTGGCCGTGTCGATAATACATTCGACTTAACTGTATTAAATTATTATCTGAATTCAATATTCAATGATGAAATAATAAGAAATCTTCAACTTGGTCCATTCAAACTACCGGGTACAATTGAATTGAAAGTAAGTAGGTTTATGTAATTGTTGAGAATGTTTGTTTTTTTGTTTTGAAAAATGATGTAACCAGTTAACTGTCAGTATCTGACAATATGGCTGGGTTTTTCAAAAATGTAAGGAAATCATAAATATGAGGTGTAATCTGTACAGAATTATCCGAATCGAATGGGTTTTTAATGGCATAAATTAAAGAATACAAGTTTAGATGAGCTAACGAATGCATCAGTGGACAATGCAGTGAAATTAGGTGAGCGACGCTATAGAATCATAAAAATGATCAAAAGCAGTACTGAGTGGAGTACCTCAGGGAACTGTACATGGCCATCTGCTATTACCATTATATGTAAATGAACTACCGAAAATTATTACCTCGTCTTCTTTATTACTTGCGGTTGACATTAAGATATGGAAAACCGTAAATAATAATGATGATTGGCTTGATATTACAAAACGATCTAGGTAAATTAGCTGAATAGGCTAACCTCTCGAGTTTGGAAATGAATTCCAAGAAAAGTACAGTAATGCACCTAGGTCAGAGGTCTTACACGTTGTACTCCCTGGGAGAGACAGAACTGCCAAATGTTAAGGCACTAAAGGAATTAGGACTTATTGTAAACCATGACTTAAAAACAAGGGCGAATTGTAATGGATCCGCAGCTAAGGCTTTTCGAATGCTATGGGCACTTCGATGGGCTTTCAAACGATTAGACGAGGGTATGTTCCGAGTACTTTATGCAACATATGTCAGACCCCATCTAGAATACTGGATACAAGCGGTGAGTCCATGTTTCGAGAAGGAAACACATATCCTGGGAACCAAATTAGTTAGTGGTATCTCACACCACCTTCCTTGTGAAAGAGGACGGCGTATTTAAATCTCTTCTCATAATCATACCGAAAGGAGGAGGGGCGACTTAATTTTGGCACACCGTATATCAAAGGGTGATTTAAGGATTGACCTTTCTAATCTTTTCTCTCCCTCGAGGATATATTTACGAGGTCACCACAAAAAGGTGCTCAAACCGAGGACAAATAAAATACGTGTGAAATTTAGATTCTCATAGAATGGCCAACCAGTAGAAGAACTCCTTACCTAATTCAATAGTAACAGCTCCATTGATGAACTCTTTCAAAGAGAAATTCGACCTCTGCAGAGATATATATTGCAAGTATTATTAAAAGCAGCGAGCTCCTTCTATCCTAATTATCTGAATCTGAAAGGAACTTAAGAACATCAGACCAGATATCTGTTTAATTTGAGGTTGGGTTAGCAAAAGATTCGGGTTAGTTAGGGATAGACTAGGATTAGGCTAACATTAGGTCATGGAAAAATTAGGGTAAGGGTTAAGGTTAGGTTTGTGATAGATTAGTGTTATAGTGCGTATTGGGGTTCCCCTAAATTTGTTTCTTTTTTTGGTACGATTAGCCTATCCCAAGACACTGGTGTGTTCATTCTCTGACTTCGAACACAATTTATCGTTCGTAATTATATCAGTTATAACTACATAACTTCGGAGCTTTCGTTTTACAGTTTTCTTGATTCTTTTCTATTCATGGTAATGGTAGTTAACTTTTCCAGATGTCTCGGTGGATAGGTGCTGAATCATTCCTATTACATGTATATTCAGTTGATTCGATAATTAAAGTTACAATCTGTTATCAGTCTCTCCATCCACCCTGTTACATTAGAATTTAAGATTGTCATCCTATCCCATCATCCCATTTTATGGTCGATAACTGCTACCTTGTCGTGGTGGTCGGGTTTGAATACCGTAAGGACCCAACAGGCTAAACTGACTGGGACTCTGTCCCTGCAGGTCCTACCATGTCAGGAAGGTTGTTGGATAGCGGTTAAACTAAAAGCAATTACCATGGGGTACATGGGCACCAGTATCCAATCGGATCAAATGGCGTATGAACCCATATGGGTCACCGGAAACCATGGGAATGCAGCTCATGACGCTGCTCCGCTGCCTTGCGAATTAGACTCCAAGTCAAAGGCCCCGGGGTGGCCACTTAATAAAACCACCTGCTTCGGTCTGTGCGCCCGGGCAGTATCTCAGCCCTCACACAATGAATTGAATGAAGCAACAAACAATCAATGAAACTTATCGCGTGCTATAACACGTGTTGCAATTTCCTTCTTTCTTCCCTTCCCGATGATAGTTAACGAATACTGTTTGAACTTGTTAAGCATGACTGTTTTCCTTCCAGATGAAGTTCTTTATCCGTTCTCTACTTATATATTTTTTCTTTTGATCTATGTTGTTTTATTATTATTGTGTGGCACATCCTTCTTGGTGCCAAATTGTACCAAGTTTATATGCGTTTAAATAATAAAATAATAAAATAAATTGTATGGTTATGTGTAACTACATGTAGTGCTGCTATAGCTGAACTATTCTCCAGATTTCTTATCTTATTCGGGTTAGCTAATCTAGATTTTGCTAGGTTCTTGTGCTGCTCCGCTAGTCTAACTGATTGATTGTGCAGTAAATTATGCTCAAAAAGTCATCTAGTTGATAATACTGTACCACTCATTGTGTGTTACATCAAATAAACTTGTCTAATATAGAACTATATTAGTAAATCATGTTCTTTAAAAGCTTCTGAATAGAAACTGATAGAAACGCATTTGTATTACTTATCACTTTGTTATTCATATGATGTGTCCAAAGTGGAAATGTAGCTGGTCGCCCTAAGCACTCATCTTCCAACTGATGTGTCAAGGGTTCGAATCCCATTCCACCTACTTTTGTCTGGGTTATTGGGTAGCATCACTAGCTATCGCACGACCAGTGTGGCCAATACCGGACTATTGACTTCTAACAAAACTAACTGTCAAGTATTTGTTTTGTAGAGATTTTGTATGATTGGTTGGAGGATTTCATCATGAGCTGACATCAGTTAAAGAACCATTGGGGAAATCAGCTAGGAGTACTGGACAGCTGTTTCATCTGCCTTAGTTTAGGACTCTTTAGCAGTACGCACCCAACGGGGTTCGGACCCAAGACCTCCTTCTGTTTACAAGGCCAGCGAGTTCGTAGACCATTAAGCCACTGGGACCCGATCCAATGGCCAAACCATGAATTCCAAATTCTGCCAATTCATGACATAGCTGCATCCTACTGGTCACGGCTTCCCACTAGAACCCCAGGTTAACTGCCTGAATAGAGCCAGTCCACTAGTGAGCATCAGATCATTGTGTCAGTTAAAACCATCATAGTGTCACATTCATTTCTATTACTATTATTCTAATTTATATATCCATACCTTTAAATTTTATTTATCCCAGGATTATTTCCTCCAAATCGATGCTCTACCGCCACATGATTTACCAACATATTTCAGCTTACCGCCAAATATTGACAGTAGTTTACAACGTAGTGAAGCGAATCGCATTATCGCCCAACTACGACTACTTAACAGGCCTAAAGTGGATTCAGAACAGAAATTCGATAAAAGTGTATGGAGTAAGGGATTAGAACCAATATTAATCCTATGGAAAAAACTCAATCAAGGCTTGAATTTAATTCAACAGGTAAGAAGTAAAAATATGAGATTCTTGAAGGTATTTTAACCGCCTCTTTTAAAAAACAAAAATTGATCTGAGATGAGATTTCATAACATATTTGTTTAGTTATTTTCAGATTAAGGGAGTGCAGTATTTTTAAATTAAATATGAACGATCAAAGAGAATTTTTTAAAACCTGTACGAGATATTATTTATTTAAGGCTAGACCAGGGATTGATGTCAGTTAGAGAACCATTGAAAAACACCAGGTAGGAGTACTGGACAACTGTTTCGCCTGCCCTAGTTTGAGAATCGTCAGTATTACGCACCCTCAGGGTGTCGAACTGCGGACCTCCCGATTACAAAGAAACCTCGTATGCCATTCAGCCACTGGGACCCGATTCAATGGCCGGTACATGAATTCTAACTTCTACCAATTCGTGATTTTATCGCAACCACTAACTAACGTCATCGGTAGGAACTTCATTCCGACTCCCGACTGCATGGACCCTACTGGTCACAAATTTTCACCAGAACTCCAAACAACTTCGTCCTGTAGTCAGTCAACAAGTGGACATCAGATTAATTTCCTAGAATTAGTTTGTGGAAATTCTATTTTTTTCAGCTTAGAGCACTGATGAATATTAGTTGGAGAACCATTGAAAACCAGGGGGGAGTATTGGAAGGCTGCTTTGTGGTAGTTTGGGACTCATCGTCAGTTTCATGACTGAAAAGATCCACTGGACCATGATGAAAATAAGAAAGGAAATTTTCTTTATCGACGAAATCACTTTCAAAGGCAGGTATAATTGTGTGTTTATATATTCACCAAAACCGTATAGTGATCCATTAATGAGTAATAAGAATGCGGTGTGACATAACTGATACAGTAACTCAAATGTGGTTTTTAAAGATGAACAGAAACTACATAATAGTTTGAGATTCGATAAGATGAAAACTCCGATTTTGATCGTTAATCCACTTTGGTTAGAAGACCCCGGATAATCAGGGAGTATTTGTCGACTGTTTTGTCCTTGTGTGAAGCTCTTCAACAGTGCGCACCCGGGTACTTCAGGTTACATGGCAAGATCGGTGACCCTAAAATCACTGGGATGGAATCCATTGGGGCTTACAAATTCTAACTTCTCCTTAGACTTCTGTCAGGACTGTTATACTGGCCTAATTCCAATCTATCTTCCTGTTAATTACCTCCAACCATTTGAAATTGATTGGATGTGGACTGCGTTGGAGATCTTTCTAGCTTGGCAATCAGACTGCAAACTACTGGATTGGAAGAATTCCTTTGTTACTCGGAAGCAAACGTAATCTAACAATGTGCGTCGGTGGCACAGTGGTTAGGACTCTCGCCGACCATGCATATGGTCCGGGGTTCGAGCCCACGCCAACGCACACCTGATATCTATGGTCGGCCTGCGAATCTTGGGCTACCGATATCCAAGCTGAAAATTCCACACTTGTACCAAAAATACGGTGTGGAATCAAGCTGTAACCAAAAAAAAAAAATTTTCAATGGCCACTCAATGTAATCAAGCGTGTTTGATGAATTACAGGCTCTAGAGTGAGTAGGGATTAATCCCACACTCGTATATGAACTTCTTAAGTTATTTGTCTTTACTGTATTAATATGAAGAAATTAAACATGTCTACACCATCACAAACCAAAATCATCGGTGAATAACTGCCCTCACGCCCAACATGGTGGACCCCGCTGTTCACGACCTCCTACTAGAACTTCAGGTGGCTTCATCTTGTAGTCAGTGGCTGAATTGTCAACGAGCTCGTCTAATGACGTCTCAAGATTTCATAAGGTGAAAACTCCAATCAGATGATGAGAATCAAGATGATTAAGCATCCACTGGACAAGTGAGAAGGTGACTTTTTCAATCAAAAAACATTTTCTTCTCTGATTTGTAGTCTATGGTTTAGTTAGTGATGACTAAAAGGGGAATTTAAGACACATATTTCTTCCTACCAGAGACTCATCACAGGCCGTAGTCACAGTTGATATGTCTACAAACACCAAACATTTTAGTCCGATGAAAATAATACCACAAGTTTTCTTTATTAGTTTGAATAGAGAAAAAACGAACATATTTACAGTCAGAATAATATGAGTTCGTTTCATTTCTTGGATTCTCTACAACTACATATATCCTATACAAAATCACTTACATGTTACAAAATGGTATCTTGAACATACTTTTCACATTGACTTCAAGTTATAGATAGAAAGTATAGGCAAACATAAATCCCGAAATGACGTAAGGGGATGAATTATTCTGTCTGTCTGTCTGTTTTCGACATAAAACTTTGCACAAATGTGCACCAGTTCAAGTCGCCACACTCCGTGTAACACGCGAAGCAACAGAAGAAAGTACAAGAAAAGCATAATAGAAACAGTGAGCAGAGGTGTGAGACAAAGGAATAGTAGTAACGAAGAACAACATAGTTTCATTGGAGATCATAAGTCACAGGGAGTGGATGCAACTGCGCCACTGAGAACGATTTTGAGCCATGTCACCAATTGTTTCCAACCATAGATTTTTACCGTCCCGAGGACCCCAGCCTGGAAGTCTACACCTTCCTACGTGGCTGGCTTAGACCAACTGTTTTGGATTTCATTGACTGGTGCCAAGTTTTTGTTTGACCACCGCCAGCTTTTTTCCAGCCTGACCCTATATCCGCTAACATTGCTCGTCGAGGGAGGCGATGGCTTGGCATACGTAACACATGTCCTAACCATCTCAGTCTTTGTAACTTCACGACTTCGTCGATTGATTTCCCCTGTTTACCTAGAACTCTACGCCTAACCTCAATATTGCTCACCTTATTATGCCACTTTACACGGGAAATAGAGCGCAGACACCTATGATCAAAGACAGCTAGTCTTTTCATGTCTTCCACTCTCAGTGGCCAGGTCTCACAACCATAAAGGAGGACAGAGCGGAGTGCTGAGCAGTACACCCGCCCTTTGGTCGATAGTCGAACATCTCGTCTACGCCAGAGTCGGCGTAAACTGGCAAATGCGAAACTAGCCCCCTGTATCCGTGCTGAGATTTCGTCAGAGATCAACCCGTTGGCACTGGTCGATGGTACTTCTCAAATAAGTGAAGCGGTCAACGTGCTCTACCACTTCACTTACTATTTCTAATCTAGGAGTCGCTGCATTCCAGTCTTGTAACATCACTTTGTATTTGGTGGGAGTGAATCGCATGCCAAACATTCGTAGATTACGGCTCAAGGTGTTTAGAAGACTCTGCATTTTGTCAGCGTCTTCGCCTAGAAGTACTATATCGTCTGCATATTCTAAGTCAACGAGATTATTCCCTGGTAGCAAGTCAATCCCTGAGTCGCTGAAGTCACTTAGGGTTAAGTCCATTAACACATCTATGATGAAGTTGAATAGAAAAGGGGATAATGGGCATCCTTGACGGACACCACTAGTCGTCACTAGTTCAGATGACAGCTCGCCGTAAGCCCTCACCTGGCTGTATGAGTACGAGTAGAGTTCCTTAATCAGTGCAATATATTTTCTCGGAATTCCCTTTACAGCCAAGCATCTCCAGAGAACTTCTCTATCGACAGAGTCGAATGCTGCCTTTAGGTCAAGAAATATAATGACTGTGATGAATTATTCAGTGTTATAAGAGTAACCATTTATCTAATAATTAGACAAGGAGAAGGTAGAGTTCAGATTTGGCTTGGGAACAAGGATGGATTAGAGACAAAATACAACATAGAACAACGGAGTTAATTTATACATATTATGATGGAGAACTCAGAAGGGTAAGCGGGGCGGGGGGGGTGAATAGTGAAGTAAATTTATAAAATAGATAAAATAATTTTAGTAGATTTTGAACCATAATAGTGAGTTTAACTCAGTGAGTGAAAATCGAAATCAAGATTGAATGGAATGTTATGCAATAGAACAAAACACAATACACACGAACAAAACAATTGTGGTTATCAGAGTACTGGGAGATTAGTCACACCATCTTTCTGTATGCATAGGTTGGGTAGAAGTCTTTTGATGCCAATGTCTTCTACGAACTGAAGTAACTATGGCTTTCTTTGTGTATTGATTATTTTGAAAGTCCGACTAATTTCCATTGTATGTCTCGTGCAAACTAGTTGTCTGGCAATTGCATCTGAAAATACTTGGCTACCTTGAAAACGGAGATTTTTAGGGATATGCTCATAAAATTTAGCAGACGTTCTCCTCTCAGTCCTTCTTATGTACTCACCGGTGCAAGTGCAGATGAAATCGTGCGTGCAGTTGGAATTGACATCAGCAGGACACTTATCTACTTTTGACTGAGTTTACGAGTATACAGTGTTGTAAATTGGAATCAGTCTGGCTTATGCTTTCTACCTATATAACTCATAGTCAGTGTGAAAAAGGCATGTTCAGAAAAATTTGGCAACTTAAAATTGATTTTGTTTGGGATTTGCATAATTGACGAGAATCTATGAAATACACCGAGCTCGTATTATTCTGACTGCAAATATTTTCGTTATTGATTTATTCAAACTAATAAAAGTCACTTAATAGGAAGTTCAAAACATTCCCAAATATTACCTCTATGAGATATGTACGTTTATAGATTAAAATAAAAGTTATTCCTCGGGTTGTACTGGTGAGAGGAATACATGTGGATCTGGCATAGGTGGAGATTAGACACTCATAGTGCGCGAACGCACTAATGATTCTGAAGTGAGAGATTGCTCTATAACGCAAATTTCGGTCCCAAAATGACCTGTAATCTTAATCTCTCCCTGACTATGAACCCTAATACCCCCTCCCAGTTTAGGCTAACCTTACCTTAACATGTCCCTAGCCTAACATAAAACTAACCAGATATTCTTCTGTTTAATATCACTACACTTAATGCAACTACTCTTTTCCATGAATACATCATCTTCTGTGGTAAGTGCTACTTATAGTCAGATATAAGTAGTACATCAGCGAAGCAACAATATGTTTCGGACACTGAAAAAAGTAATTG